GTAGCTGTGGATTGGGTTCTTCCGTCCTAAGTGCAGGACCCTGCACTTATCCTTATTGAACCTCATCAGATTTCTTTTGGCCCAATCCTCCAATTTGTCTAGGTCTTTCTGTATCCTATCCCTCCCCTCCAGCGTATCTACCACTCCTCCCAGTTTAGTATCATCCGCAAATTTGCTGAGAGTGCAATCCACACCATCCTCCAGATCATTTATGAAGATATTGAACAAAACCGGCCCCAGGACCGACCCTTGGGGTACTCCACTTGATACCGGCTGCCAACTAGATATGGAGCCATTGATCACTACCCGTTGAGCCCGACAATCTAGCCAGCTTTCTACCCACCTTGTAGTGCATTCATCCAGCCCATACTTCCTTAACTTGCTGACAAGAATACTGTGGGAGACCGTGTCAAAAGCTTTGATTTCAAAAGATTGATTTCAGCTGCAGATTTGAACTGTGATTTAAATCAGCAAGCAGGAAACCTTGATTTAAATAATCAAATTGCGTCTTGTTTTGCATTTGCACTTTTTAGTTATGTTTCTAAAGCAAGGTTGATTCTCATTGGTGGTAACTATTAAAACAGGTTGGTTTGCCATTAAAATAGCCTTTTTGCTAAATTTGGTACTGGCTTTTGCTAATCACGAGGATACACTAGAAATGTACATACTTATTTAAGCAATTACATATCTAAATGTACATTTACTCAGATTCTTAATTTTTCCTATTTTCTACCATTAGAAAACAGTGAGCAATGCATTTCTTATTTACTAGATGATTAATTAGTTCTCCTTGTGTCAAGCTGCTTTTGGATGGAAATTGGGATTCAATTAACAATGCACAAACCCAGCATTTCCAAATGTGTTTTTCATTCAATGTGACGGCCACAGCTATGTTGGATACATACATCAGGCACCTGCCTTTCTGTAAAGCTTCAAGAGCAAACATCCTGCTTCATATTCTATGGGATTTGATGTACAGGATTAGGGTAAATTTAGGGCCTTGACCCAGGTTGTCAATAACTTCCCATTTAAGTAGGTTTGTTTTAAAAAAGAAAAATGCACTTAATTTAAATGTAAAAGAATTGGATTTTGTGTAAATCCCCCTGAGCCCACCTTGCTGGGAGTGTGAGGGATGCTCCTAATCTGCAGCCTTCCCCTGGCTGGTGCTTGTTTGACTCAAGGATGCCACAGAGGTTAGAAATGGGGAGGGAGGGGATGTGCCCCGTAGCTCTCCAGAAGGTAGTGTGTGCCCCTCCCCCGGGGATTTACAAAGCACCCTCCACCTCCACACACTCTCACTTCCCCTTTGGCTCCCCCATTCTCAGGCTGTGCAGTCGAAGGAGGCTCCTCCACTCACCTGACCCCGCGGAGGGAGGGAGAAGCGTATTCACCCATTCTGCCTTCACGTTTTCTAAAAGGGAGCAGTGTCTAGTGGTTGTGGGGGGGATTGGCAGCCAGGACTCCTAGGTTACATGAAAGGATCTGCTGCAGGATGCTAGGCAAGACCCGTTCCTGCTTCTCCCAAAAGCCTGGCACAAAGAGATCAAGATCCACACCCACACTCCTCAATCATGGAGCAGAGCCCACCTGGCTGTGCCCATCCAGGCCTCCCCCACTTCTCTGCCAAAGCACCTTGATCCTTCCCAGCCCCGCACTTCCAGCCCCCAGTCCCCCCACACCCCTCCCTTCAGCTCTGCACAGAAAAGTCCTGTCTCAGTAGCATCTCCACCTTCCCCCCATCAGCTGTTTATGTAGTTACACTAGAAACTGCTCCAGAAGCGCAGGGAGTTTGCTCTGGGGTTTGGGGCAAGCTGCAGCCGCGGTGGATCATGCAGGATTCCTGGGGCATGGAAGGGCACAGAGCCAGCTGGTACCTGCACAGGTGGAGATGTTACCTAGCAGCTCTGTGTCCTTGGGGAATCAGGGCGCAGTACCCAGCCTCTGACTCACTAAAGACCTCCCGCTGCCCAGCCTCTGCTTGAACCAAAACCGATCAGAAGAAAGATGTACAAAAAGCAATGAAAAGGCTGTGGGAGACACCTAAACCCCTGGGATAAGGGTGACAGGATTAAAGAAACTCCCGTAGCCTCATTTGCATCAAAGATGGAACAGGGAGGCATCTCTATTAGCATACAGAATGGAGAACAGAGATTCCAAAGCAAGAACCCCTTGGAACTCTGGGACTATAAAAGCAGGGAAGCACTGCATGATGAGAGATCTCTGCTCCAGGTGTTAATGAACCCATGCCTGCACCCTCCCAGCTCTGTAGTTTCAGACCAATTCTAGTAATAAATCCTTTATTGGTATCCAAAATACTGAAGCTCCCTAATTGCATTGTGAGCTCCCTCGAAGGAACACTGCCCATAGCCAGGAATGATCAGTTCCTATTGTCTAGCCTGAACAAAACAACTTTGGTATATTCCCTTGAGCCATAAGTTTACACATAAACAAATCTAGTGTTCTCCCTCCAACCATTGTTGTTTCCCTACAAAAACCCCTACCCATGCTCAAATAAGTGCTCTGATGCCTGGATCCAAAATCTGCATCAGTTCTATTGGGACTTCATCTTCTCCTGACTGATCGTGCTGGGGGCTCTGCCTGACTCCAGCACTCTGGACCCTCAGCTACCACCACCACCTCGGATCCCCAATCGATTCAAGCTTCACGGAATGGCGAGAATCCAGCTCTCTCTCTCTCTCTCGGAATAGCCTTCTGACCCTGGCTTGTGTGATCAGTTATAGTTTTCTAAACCTGACTTTTATAATCCAATTTAAGTTAGATTTAATATTATCACTGTTTTAGAATCATAGACTTTAAGGTCAGAAGGAACCATTATGATCGTCTAGTCTGACCGCCTGCACAACGCAGGCCACTGAATCTCACCCACCCACTCCTGTAACAAACCCCTAACCTACTGAAGTCCTCAAATCGTGGTTTAAAGACTTCAAGGTGCAGAGAATCCTCCAGCAAGTGACCCGTGCCCCAAGCTGCAGAGGAAGGTGAAAAACCCCCAGGGCCTTTGCCAATCTGCCCTGGAGGAAAATTCCTTCCCGACTCCAGATATGGCGATCAGCTAAACCCTGAGCATTTGGGCAAGACTCACCAGCCAGACACTCAGGAAAGAATTCTCTGTAGTAACTCAGATCCCACCCAATCTAACATCCCATCACAGGCCATTGGGCATATCTACCGCTAATAGTCAAAGATCAATTCATTGCCAAAATTAGGCTATCCCATCCCCTCCATAAACTTATCAAGCTAAGTCTTGAAGCCAGATATGTCTTTTGCCCCCACTGCTCCCTTTGGAAGGCTGTTCCAGAACTTCAGTCCTCTGCTGGTTAGAAACCTTTGTCTAATTTCAAGTCTAAACTTCCTGATGACCAGTTTATATCCATTTGTTCTTGTGTCCACATTGGTACTGAGCTTAAATAATTCCTCTCCCTCCCTGGTATTTATCCCTCTGATATATTTATAGAGAGCAATCGTATCTCCCCTCAGCCTTCGTTTGGTTAGGCTAAACAAGCCAAGCTCCTTGAGTCTCCTTTCATAAGACAGGTTTTCCATTCCTCGGATCATCCTAGTAGCCCTTCTCTGTACCTGTTCCAGTTTGAATTCATCCTTCTTAAACATGTTTGTTTGGCTCTCCTATGGTTATTACCTGGCAATAAATAACTTTCATGATTAAGATGGCTGCTTCTCTCTCTCTCTTCCTCAATCCCATCATGGGTGTTTTTTTTTTTTTTTTGGCTTCCCCATTCACTTTGCAGCAACGCTCCTCGTACCCAAACTAAAGATCCCTGCAGTGCCCAAAAATCCTGTGGGATTTGCTCGAGTGGGTTACGACCAGAACAATGGTAACATGAAAGCGGGGATAGGGTTGTGCTGAACCTGGGGCATAGGCGGGTGGCAGCTTGGACGTGCTGCTCAACCCGGCCTGCTGAGTCCAGGGACGTGTAAGAGGTCAGTTGGGGGGTGCTTATTGACCCTGTCCTCCCAGATGCGTTAACGTGTGTGTGTGTTTGTCTGATTCTGGGACTGGAAGAACCCAGCCCTGGGGAACCAAGGTCCTGCAGGATCGCTCCACTGGGAGGGGACTTGCAGCAGGGAGAAGCAAAGCTCCGTGGGAGAACACAGTGTATAAGCAGAATCCCCCACCCCCACAGAAAAGTAACCCTAATAAATGAGTGTTCCCCAAAGTAACGGGCAAATCTGGTAACATAGGAAACCGTTCACTGCTAAGTCCCAGGTTCCCATTCGGGCTGGGAGTCACCAGACGCTCCTGGGGCCAGACCCCCATGGGCATTTCTGTACCTACCTCCTATCTGGGCCTTGGCGTCTCCTGGCTGTTGGCTAGCCTGTGTGTGTCAGTGAGTCGCAGGGCAGCCCCATGGCATGGATGGGACTCAGGAGAAGCTAAGGCTTGAACTGGGACACGGAAACTGAGCAGGTCCCCCCAGAGCAGCACCCCGGGTGCGGGGCAGGGGGATTTTGTCCTGGTGCTGCTCATGTTGCACCTGTGGCTCAGTCTCCAGAGCTGGAATTCACCTCACCACCCAAAGCTGGCACTGCCCAGCCATGGATTCTCAGAGAGGCTGGTGTAAGCCAAGAACGACCCACTTCCCGCTGGCATGTGGAGGGCAGGGTGTGTGCACACGCATGATGGAGTTGCCTGGGGCCCTGGGTGTCAGGGTAGAGGTTCCTGTTTTAGCTGGTTCCATTTGAAGGCCAGTGTCTGGTTCCCAGGGCTCAGCTGTGTGCGCTGGGCTGGGCGATGGCCATGCAGGCCAGCCCCACCTCAGGGGCAGCGCTGTGGGAGCAGAGGGGTCTATGCTGGGTGTGAGCTGGGCCCCAGCACGGCTGCAGTTAGGGCTCAGGAAGCTGCTCACAAAAGCAGAAGTGCCGTGTACTGCAGCGTGGGGGGACTTTTGTTTTTAACCCTCGTTTCCTGTGCGTGGGCTTCAGAGCTCGGTGACACGGCTCTGCACAGCTGGGGCGCAGGCAGTGTCTGTGGACGGGCGTGTGGAGGGCTGCCATCTCCAGGCTCTGAGCAGCGCTGGCAGGAGCAGGTGGGCTTCTCCAGCATCCCGGCTGTCTCCGAAGGTGTCTCTGCTCTGCCAGGGGTGAGTACACTGTTGCTGACTCCTTGCTGCTCAGACTTCAGCCCTCCCCTCCACTTCCTCCCAGGCTCCCCTCCCTGCGTGCCTCTTCCCATTCACCGCTTGGCCCCAGCAATCTCCCCTGTGCCCACCCTGCGCAGGCCGTGTCTGCAAAGCCTTAATTCCACCCTTCCAAGCATCCGGCACCCTCAGCTCCATTGCCATCAGCCTCTTTGAGGATCAGGCCCTAGGCTGGTAAATCCAACAGGGAGGGGCGCAGCCTCCCTCGCAGTGCCAGCAGGCTGGTCGCAGGAGAGAAAGGACATGCCTGTGGTTAAGGCAATGGGGGGGCAGGACTCCTGGGTTCTATTCCCAGCCCTGCCAGAGAGTTCCTGTGTGACCTTGGGCGGGTCACTCTTTCTCAGGCACTGTGGGTCCTGCTATTAGAGCTGCATGAGATGGAGCCAATAAGAGGTTGCTCAGCTCCCCCCTAACCAGGATCAAGGCAGGGCAGCTCCCCACTTGGGTCACTACGATAACATTGCAATGGAGGAAAATAACAGAGAGGAGCTCCAGGGCTGGAGGAAACTGGAAGGGGGGAGGGTTCCCGGCAGTAACCCCCCGACCCTTAGAGGTCAGCCAGGCTTACAACACCTCTAGCAGGAGTCTGAAAAATCCCAGCCCTCCCCCCACCCCCATTCAGTCTCCACGTATTCAGTCTTAACACGAGACTCAGAGGCTGAGGCTGAGACAGTGCAGCCTAGGGGTCAGAGCACGGGACGGGGAGCCTGTGACATACCACAGTACAATCCAGACTAATGAGCAGCTCAGTCGTCCTGGTCCTGCAACCTTGGTGCCTTACGATGCCTTGCTGAAGTGGCTTCCACCTGGGCCACTCACAAACAGCTTCCAGCATGCAAGCCACACCCTGTGTGTCTTTGTGCAACTGCAGCCTGCCAGCCACACTGAGGTTACACACCCTGCTCTCACCAGCCTGGGTTATATTGCAGGGTGACACCAAAACACCCCCAGTCTTAGACGGTCCCTCAGTAATGTATGTCCTCTCCTGGACAATACAAGCTACATTAAGTCTATTTCTTTCATAGAAATAATATGCACACAACTTGCCACCCCCAATGGAGTTTGTCAGACACTTTAATTTAAACACACTGGGTTAGATAAAAGAGTAAAACAAGTTTATTAATTACAAAGAGAGCCATTTTCAATGAGTACAAGTAACAAGGCAAAAAAGTCAGAAATGGTTACAAGAACAATAGAGTTAAGACATTTCCTAATGCCGAACTTAACAAACTCTATCAGATGCAAGCAAAGTTTCTTACCATATACTTTCAGCAGTCTTACTGACCAAACCCTGTAGGTTAGGACCCCTTCTCCAAGAATCCAATGAAGGCTTCCTTTGTTGCTTCAGGTGCAGTGAATCTGATGGGCAGGGAGAGAGAAAGAGGGGACCGGTGGGGTTTTTGTCTTTCCTTTCTATAGTTTCAGTCCTCCTCTTGAAAAACATTTCCAGGTGGGCACTAGAAGGAAAAGAGTCTGCATGGAAGGATGTTCCCTGCTGCTTTTTCCTCATCGTTTAAGCTTCCTTTGTTTCCCTTCCAGCTGATGACTCTGTTTACTGCTTAAATGCAAATTAAGCAGAGGACACATTCCTTTGTTTAGGACAGGCCTGTTTGCCACCCTCAGTTTGGAACATGTTTTAATAAAGCCACACAGTGGCTTCACATACAAGGTTACCACACAGGTTTTATCAGGACGTTACTGATCAACAAATTATGAGTTTTCAAATGATATCTCACAAGGAGTACTTTGTACAAAGATTATTACAATAGTGTGTCAGGTGTGAGTACAGGGGTACATCATTCTGCCACAGAGCCGAATTCCAATCCTGATGCCAACACTGAGGCCAGTGCCCACGTGTCTTTCCCAGGCGCTCTCCCATCCAGGCCTGGGAGGCGGCTATTAGTACATTACTGTATCCCCCCTGCCCTAAACCCCGCTGAAACCCATCTACCAGGTCCCAGGGGCAGGATCACTCTGTCTGGGGCCCTTTGCCTAAAACAAATCAGACTCCAGCTCAAGCCTCCACCCAGGTCTGGGTTCCTACTTCTGGCTCTGGGAAATTAAAATAACCCCTCCTGGGTCCCCTTTAGAGGGGGCTCTTCCCCCTCGCCAGCGCTCAGCGCCCTTGGAACACGAAGAGCTTTTCATCGGGGAGAAACCAGTCCAAAGAACCATGATAACCCAGGTCTAGATTTACCTGTAAGAACCTGAGCCACCTAAACCAGGCATCAGGCGTCTGGATGGCCTCACGGGCAGAGACCCAGGACTCCACTGGCTTGTCTTCCTGGCAGAGTTACCTCGAGTTACACTTCCAGCGTCACCCCTCGCTGGAGTCCCACAAAACCCTTCACTGCTGTGACGGTGCTGTTTACACCAGCTGACTGCTCTGCCCCCTCCAGAGCACAGGCTAACGAGCTGCGCAGCATGGTGGCAGGCTTGCTCCACTGGCCTGCTGCTCATCCTCCAACACCTTTCCACAATTCTGCCCCTGCCGCACCAGCAAGTCCAGAAAGGACAAACGAATTTCCACTTACTGCAGCGCCAAGGCCTTCTGTCACGCCCGAGGAGGGCCGCACCCAGTGTGGACACAGCAGGTGGGATTCCACAGTGGAGCTGCTCTCATGCGAGCAAGGCTAACTCGAGTTCACTGTGCAGTGAAGACAGATCCCAGGCTGTCCACAAGCCCCACCCCCCTAAAGCCCTCTTGTGGTTCTCATCTGCTGGTCTGCTCCCGCCCAAAGAGAACCGTGCGGCTACCCGGCCCAACTCTGCAATATCAGCTCCGGTCCTGCTGGCCCAGGATCCTGGGAAGTCAGCTCTGGCGGGCGTGGCGAACAGGGTGCCGTGGGCTGACAGAGATCTCAGCCACGTTCCACTGCTGCTGATGGCTACAAGGCCAGCTCTGCATGATTATCTCCCCCACTGCTCCAGCCCCACAGGTTCACTCCACACAGGAACCAAACTGCCACGTGGGGAACCCAGAGCAAAACAAGACCCTTGAGTAGGAGCGAGAACCCCAGCTCCTTGCAGCGATCCATCCGGTCTTTGCTCCAAGATTTCCTCTACTCTGAGGAGGATTTCATTCACTTTCATTTCACTCCTCGCCCCTCGGGCCAGGTGACCCCACCCTGGGCATATTCTGGCCAAATCATCAGCACTTTGGAGGGTTCAATACTAATCTATTGTCATTGACACAGTCAGAACAGAAATCAGTTCCAACCAGAGCGTCCAAGGGCAGCAGAGGGAATTCTGCGTAAGCAAGATGGATCCAGGAGGCTAACTAGAGAGGGCTGTTCCCCTTCTCCCCATAAAGTGTGCAGAGCGCCAGCCCTAGGGAACATCTACACGCCTTTTACAACCCAGGGCAGCGAGTCTGTGGTGCTAAAATCAGCTGTTTGGCCTTGGACTGAGCCTGAATGGCTACACACAGAAGGGGGGGAATATGGGGGCGGGGGCGGAGTCATGTGCCCCATGAGATTTCGGCCAGGGTGGGAGTCGGGCTGAACACAGCTGAGGGGGATGTGCCTGGGAAAGGCACCAGCCCCCAGCCTCACTAGGAGGCCCCAGAGCAGGGAAGAGAGGTGGGGCGTGGGGAAGCCCACTGAGTCCCGTTCCCTTCCTCGCCCGCAGCTCAGCAGTCGGTGTCCGGAGCTTGCTCCAGCCCGGGAGAAGGAAGCGGGGAAGGAGCTGTGAGGGGCGTGGGTGGGGACAAGGTGGTGCCAGCTTGGAGGGGTCTGGGGGGCGCAGGGAGAGTGGGAAAGGGACCAGATGCGACACCGTCACATGCCCCCCCAAACCTTTAAATTGTGCCTTCCCCCCAGAAAGAGTTACGGGTGGTTTCTGTCTAGCACCAGAGCGTAAGCCCCACGTGCCCAAGTCTTCAGACCCAGGCTTTGAGCTCTTGCCGTGTGGACGTACTCTGTCTTCTGGCCTGCGCCCTACGGCCCCATCAGAGGGCTTGAAACTCCTTGGGTTTCGGCTTATTTTGTGCTAGAGTGTTTTGTGCTAAAGTAGCTAGAGATCCTTTGATAAGTTCTGTGTCTCCTGAATGTACCAGCTAGGAGGAGTTTGGCATTTTAGCTGTCATGGCCTTCCAGAACAGGTAGTAAGTGGCCGTGGACCTCATGTTCAGTCAGATTATTTTGTTGCCTGTTGATCATTCCTTTGGGGGTGGGGGACAAAGGAGGGGGGGTTGTACCCCAGCAGAATGGGCTGTGGGTTCAGCCTCCTAACCCGCGCTGCCGCCCTGTTGGCACTTCCCCGGTTGCAGGCTTGCCTGACTCTCCCCCCTTGCTGGCCCCCGGGCTACGGGATAGGGAGCTGCTGCTCCAAACAGCCAGCACTCCTGAGGGGCACTTTGATGGGCGATTTGTGGGAGCAGGGATGGGTGTCAGGCCAGGGAGGGCGGCTGCCCGTGGGAGATGCCTAGCTATTTTGCCCCCTGCTCTCAGTTCAAACAGGAGCTATTCAGGAGCCGTTGGCTGTGTTGCCCTCCTCAGAATGATTCTCCGCCAACGCTGGCTGTGTTTTCTGTGCCCAGGTAGATGCTGGTTCGGGATCAGCAGGGAACAGGCCACCTGCCACCTCCCAGGGCTTGAGGCAGAAGGAAGGGGCCAGGCGGGTCAATGGCTGACGGGAGTGTGCCCATCGGCACCCTGGGAGAAGGTGCCTTGGCCAGGCTCTGTGAGCTCCTGGACAACTGCAGCCGGGGCTGGAGGAAACTGGCTGAAATCGCCGGTGCCGAGAAACGCTTCAAATGCAGGTGGAGGAAGTGTGGGGGCACAACAGGCTTCGGGCACCGATCCGGGCAGCGCGTCCGCGGGCGACATGTCAGTGCAGCCTCGCCAGCCTGCCGGCCCCAGTGCATGTGCTTGTGTGCAGCGGGGGCTGGTGCGGGGAGTGCACGTGTGTGTGTGTACGTGCAGACGCGGGGGGTGATGTAGGTGATGCTCCTGGGTATGAGTGGTCACACTCTGTGTGTGTGTGTGTGTGAGAGGGTAGGGGTGTCATCGCAGTGTAGGCTGTGGTATGACGTGTGTGTGTGTGTTTACAGTGCGCGCTGTTCCAGTGAAGGCTGGGGGGGGGTGTGTGTGTGTGTGAGAGAGAGAGAGAGAAAGAGAGAGCTGTCCCAGTGTAGGCCCCATATGTGTGTAGATGTCACAGGGCAGGCTGTGGGGTCTGTGTAGAGTGTTTCCTGTCCCAGTGGAGGGTGTGTGCTGTCCCCGTTCAGGCTGTGGGGGGTGTGGGGGGTGGGGCGTCCCAGTGCGGGCTGTGGGGGGTGTGGGGGGTGGGCTGTCCCAGTGCAGGCTGTGGGGGGTGTGGGGGTGGGGCGTCCCAGTGCGGGCTGTGGGGGGTGTAGGGGGTGGGGCGTCCCAGTGCGGGCTGTGGGGGCTGTGGGGGGTGTAGGGTGTCCCAGTGCGGGCTGTGGGGGGTGTGGGGGTGGGGCGTCCCAGTGCGGGCTGTGGGGGGTGTAGGGGGTGGGGCGTCCCAGTGCGGGCTGTGGGGGGGTGGGGGGTGGGGCGTCCCAGTGCGGGCTGTGGGGGGTGTGGGGGGTGTGCTGTCCCCGTTCGGGCTGTGGGGGGTGTGGGGGTGGGGCGTTCCAGTGCGGGCTGTGGGGGGTGTGGGGGTGGGGTGTCCCATGCGGGCTGTGGGGGGGTGGGGTGTCCCCGTTTGGGCTGTGGGGGGTGTAGGGGGTGGGGCGTCCCAGTGCGGGCTGTGGGGGTTGTGGGGGTGGGGTGTCCCAGTGTGGGCTGTGGGGGGTTGTAGGGGGTGGGGTGTCCCAGTGCGGGCTGTGGGGGGTGTAGGGGGTGGGGTGTCCCAGTGCGGGCTGTGGGGGGTGTAGGGGGTGGGGCGTCCCAGTGCGGGCTGTGGGGGTTGTAGGGGGTGGGGTGTCCCAGTGCGGGCTGTGGGGCTGTGGGGGTGGGGGTGTCCCAGTGCGGGCTGTGGGGGTGTAGGGGGTGGGGTGTCCCCGTTCAGGCTGTGGGGGGTGTGGGGGTGGGGTCCAGTCGGGCTGTGGGGTGTGTGGGGGGTGTGTGTCCCCGTTCAGGCTGTGGGGGGTGTGGGGGTGGGGTGTCAGTGAAGGCTGTGGGGGTGTAGGGGGGGTGTCCCATTCAGGCTGTGGGGGGTGTAGGGGGTGTGGGTCCCAGTGCGGGCTGTGGGGGTGTGGGGGTGTGCATCCAGTGCGGGCTGTGGGGGGTGTGGGGGTGTGGGGTGTCCAGTCGGGCTGTGGGGGGTGTAGGGGGTGGGGTGTCCCGTTCAGGCTGTGGGGGGTGTGGGGGTGGGGTGTCCAGTGCGGGCTGTGGGGGGTGTAGGGGTGGGGGCGTCCCCTGCGGGTGTGGGGGTGTGGGGGTGGGGTGTCCAGTGAAGGCTGTGGGGGGTGTAGGGGGTGGGGTGTCCATGCGGGCTGTGGGGGGTGTGGGGGTGGGGGGTCATGCGGGCTGTGGGGGTTGTAGGGGGTGGGGTGTCCCGTTCAGGCTGTGGGGGTGTGGGGGTGGGGTGTCCATCGGGCTGTGGGGGGTGTAGGGGGTGGGGTGTCCCTTCAGGCTGTGGGAGGTGTGGGGGTGGGGGTCATGCGGGCTGTGGGGGGTGTGGGGGTGGGGGTCAGTGCGGGCTGTGTGGGGTGTGGGGGTGGGGTCCAGTGCGGGCTGTGGGGGGTGTAGGGGGTGGGGGTGTCCCATGCGGGCTGTGGGGGGTGTGGGGGTGGGGTCCAGTGCGGGCTGTGGGGGTGTAGGGGGTGGGGGTGTCCATGCGGGCTGTGGGGGTTGTAGGGGTGGGGGGTCAGTGCGGGCTGTGGGGGTGTAGGGTGTCCCAGTGCGGGCTGTGGGGGTTGTAGGGGTGGGGGTCCAGTGCGGGCTGTGGGGGGTGTAGGGTGTCCCAGTGCGGGCTGTGGGGGGTGTAGGGGGTGGGGTGTCCCCGTTCAGACTGTGGGGGGTGTGAGGGTGGGGGGTCCCAGTGCGGGCTGTGGGGGTGTGGGGGTGGGGGTCAGTGCGGGCTGTGGGGGGGTGTGGGGGTGGGGGTCCCATGCGGGCTGTGGGGGGTGTAGGGGGTGGGGGGTCAGTGCGGGCTGTGGGGGGTGTGGGGGTGGGGGTCCCAGTGCGGGCTGTGGGGGGTGTAGGGGGTGGGGTGTCATGCGGGCTGTGGGGGTTGTAGGGGGTTGGGGTCCCAGTGCGGCTGTGGGGGGTGTAGGGTGTCCAGTGCGGGCTGTGGGGGTTGTAGGGGGTGGGGGTCCATGCGGGCTGTGGGGGGTGTAGGGTGTCCCAGTGCGGGCTGTGGGGGGTGTGGGGGTGGGGGTCCCAGTGCGGGCTGTGGGGGTGTAGGGGTGGGGTCATGCGGGCTGTGGGGGGGGGGGGGTGGGGGTCCCAGTGCGGGCTGTGGGGGGTGTAGGGGGTGGGGGTCCCAGTGCGGGCTGTGGGGGTGTGGGGGTGGGGGTCAGTGCGGGCTGTGGGGGGTGTGGGGGTGGGGGTCCCAGTGCGGGCTGTGGGGGGTGTAGGGGGTGGGGTGTCCCAGTGCGGGCTGTGGGGGTTGTAGGGGGTTGGGCGTCCCAGTGCGGGCTGTGGGGGGTGTAGGGTGTCCCAGTGCGGGCTGTGGGGGTTGTAGGGGGTGGGGCGTCCCAGTGCGGGCTGTGGGGGTGTAGGGTGTCCCAGTGCGGGCTGTGGGGGGTGTAGGGGGTGGGGCGTCCCAGTGCGGGCTGTGGGGGGTGTAGGGGGTGGGGCGTCCCAGTGCGGGCTGTGGGGGGTGTGGGGGTGGGGCGTCCCAGTGCGGGCTGTGGGGGGTGTAGGGGGTGGGGTGTCCCAGTGCGGGCTGTGGGGGGTGTAGGCGCAGGATCTGATGGTCATGGCTGTGCCAGTGAATGGAAGTCGGGGGTGAGGAGAAAGGGCCCCCAGGTGCTCTAAGGATGGTGGGTGTCTCAGCCTGGATCCCCTACCCGGGAACGTTTCCCCGGCTGTAGCACATCTCCTGCCTAGATCTCCAGGTGGGTTGGGATCATTATCCCTGAGACACAGGCCACCCCGCAGGGCAGAGCCAGGCTGAGCTGAGCACCTGGGTCTCCTGCATCCCCATTCCCCGCCCTCTCCACCAGACCACGCGGCCTCCCACTCAGAAGCTGAGGCTGTCTCCCCAGCCACAGGATTGAAAGGGTTCATGTTGTTTTGTGTTTGCTGTGGGTTCCCAGCGAGGAGGAGCTGGAGATGTGTTCCCTGAAGGTCCTGGAGCCCTGCGGGAGCCCCAGCCAGTGCCTCCTGCAGCTGCTGTCAGAGCGGGACTGCACCCTCAAGTACCTGCTCTGCTGCCTGGATAAGATGGGACACACCGAGGCCTTCCAGTTTCTCTCCAGTGTCGGTACGGGCTGGTGATTGGAGCGGGGACTGGGGGTCAAGATGCTGGGGTTCTGCTCCCCGCTCTAGGGTGAGAGTGAGGCTTGGTGGCTGGGTCTGGGCGTCAGGGAGCAGGGGTTCTTCTCCTGCTCTAGGGTGGGCATGGGGTCTGGTGGCTGGGTCTGGGGGTCAGGGTGTGGGGTTCTGCTCCCTGCTCTAGGATGGGAGCGGGGTCTGGTGGCTGGGTCTGGGGGTTCTGCTCCCCGCTCGAGGATGGGAGCGGGGGTCTGGTGGCTGGGTCTGGGGGTTCTGCTCCCCACTCTAGGATGGGAGCGGGGTCTGTGTGGCTGGGTCTGGGGGTTCTGCTCCCCGCTCGAGGATGGGAGCGGGGTCTGGTGGCTGGGTCTGGGGGTTCTGCTCCCCGCTCGAGGATGGGAGCGGGGTCTGTGTGGCTGGGTCTGGGGGTTCTGCTCCCCGCTCTAGGATGGGAGCGGGGTCTGGTGGCTGGGTCTGGGGGTTCTGCTCCCCGCTCGAGGATGGGAGCGGGGTCTGGTGGCTGGGTCTGGGGGTTCTGCTCCCCACTCTAGGATGGGAGCGGGGTCTGGTGGCTGGGTCTGGGGGTTCTGCTCCCCACTCTAGGATGGGAGCGGGGTCTGTGTGGCTGGGTCTGGGGGTTCTGCTCCCCGCTCGAGGATGGGAGCGGGGTCTGGTGGCTGGGTCTGGGGGTTCTGCTCCCCGCTCGAGGATGGGAGCGGGGTCTGTGTGGCTGGGTCTGGGGGTTCTGCTCCCCGCTCTAGGATGGGAGCGGGGTCTGGTGGCTGGGTCTGCGGGTTCTGCTCCCGCTCGAGGATGGGAGCGGGGTCTGGTGGCTGGGTCTGGGGGTTCTGCTCCCCACTCTAGGATGGGAGCGGGGTCTGGTGGCTGGGTCTGGGGGTTCTGCTCCCCACTCTAGGATGGGAGCGGGGTCTGTGTGGCTGGGTCTGGGGGTTCTGCTCCCCGCTCGAGGATGGGAGCGGGGTCTGGTGGCTGGGTCTGGGGGTTCTGCTCCCCGCTCGAGGATGGGAGCGGGGTCTGGTGGCTGGGTCTGGGGGTTCTGCTCCCCACTCTAGGATGGGAGCGGGGGTCTGTGTGGCTGGGTCTGGGGGTTCTGCTCCCCGCTCGAGGATGGGAGCGGGGTCTGGTGGCTGGGTCTGGGGGTTCTGCTCCCCGCTCGAGGATGGGAGCGGGGTCTGTGTGGCTGGGTCTGGGGGTTCTGCTCCCCGCTCTAGGATGGGAGCGGGGTCTGGTGGCTGGGTCTGCGGGTTCTGCTCCCCGCTCGAGGATGGGAGCGGGGTCTGGTGGCTGGGTCTGGGGGTTCTGCTCCCCGCTCTAGGATGGGAGCGGGGTCTGGTGGCTGGGTCTGGGGGTTCTGCTCCCCGCTTGAGGATGGCAGCGAGGTCTGGTGGCTGGGTCTGGGGGTTCTGCTCCCTGCTCTAGGATGGCAGCGAGGTCTGGTGGCTGGGTCTGGGGGTTCTGCTCCCTGCTCTAGGATGGCAGCGAGGTCTGGTGGCTGGGTCTGGGGGTTCTGCTCCCCGCTCTAGGATGGGAGCGGGGTCTGGTGGCTGGGTCTGGGGGTTCTGCTCCCCGCTCGAGGATGGGAGCGGGGTCTGGTGGCTGGGTCTGGGGGTTCTGCTCCCCGCTCGAGGATGGGAGCGGGGTCTGGTGGCTGGGTCTGGGGGTTCTGCTCCCCGCTCGAGGATGGGAGCGGGGTCTGGTGGCTGTCACTGGCGGTCAGGACTCCTGGGTTCTAAGCCCCGCTGTGGGAAGGTGTGGGAGGGCTCTGTTGGAGCAGGGAGCAGCAAGGCAGAATGGCTGGGTTCCAGAGAGTGTGAGCTGATGGCTGGAGCTGGGAGCCAGGACTCCTGATGGTGGTTGGAGTGGGGGACCCAGGAATTTATAGGTGAAGGGAAATTGTGTGAGGGGAGTGTAATGGGAACTATCTAAAACTACGGCAACTTACACACAAGCCGGATTCTTGCCGGAGGCTGCGTCTACACCGGAAACGCTGCAGCCCCTCTAGTGCTTCAGCAGCAGGGGGTTCTCCCGTGGGGGAGCTAATCCCTCTCCCGCAGGGGCGGAGCTGTGTTGCTGGAAGAATTCTCCCCTTGGCTTAGCGTTAGCTGTGCTGGGCGTTTGGTCGGCTTCACTGTGATGCTCAGCGTGTGGATTTTTCACATCCCTGAGCAACGCAACTGGGTTAACGTCTGAGTGTAGACCAGGCCTGTGACATATTCCTGGGGGGGCCTGATTGCCCAGGGGTTTGTTCTTTCCTCTCTTGCAGTCCAAGAGTCCATCAGGATCGTGGTGCAGCCCGAATCTCAGGTGGTTACAGAAGGGACCACAGCGTCTTTCACCTGCCGGGCGACGGGGCCCCCGGGACTCAATTACCAGTGGTTCTGTGGGAAGCAGGAGGTGAGGCTTGGGGAGGGAGGAGGGAAAAGGGAAAATCTCCAGCTTAATAAATTAATCAGTCAATAAATCTGCAGCAGCAGCATGGTCTGGTGGGAGGAAAACAAGTCCCAAGGCCTGGCTGTTCCACTGACACACTGAGTGGCCTTGGGCGAGTCAAATTTGGGGGGGGCCCAGCTTGAGACACAAAGGGCCAAGCAAAGCATCCCCAGCTCCAGCTGAAGCCAATGGATTCATTGGTGCCTGGACAGTGCAGGCAATGCTCAGAGCTCTGTGTCAATGTTAGGTGGTATTATTAGACCATGCAGCCTCCCAGCACAGTCCCCGTGGAGGGTGGGACACTTGGGGATGGATGGAGGGCGCAGTGCCAGGAGGCTGCATGGTTTCTGCTCCCTTCAACCTGGCATGTTTTATTTTGTGCCTGTTAGGTGCCCGGTGCCACCTCCCCTGAGCTGGTGATTGACCCAGCTACTCTGCAGACCCCGGACTGGTACATCTGCCGCGTTAACCACAGGGCCAGCTTCACGTTCTCCAGGTGGGCCCGGCTCCAGGTCAAGCGAAGCAGCAGCCCTGCCTCAGGTAGGAGGACAAGTCGCAGGGCTGCTTGCAGCAGCGGCAGGGAAAGCAGCTGGCAGGGCCAGCCAGGCAGTTGAGCTGTCTGGGGGCAGCTCCGTCTCGGCACTGTGTTGACTTGCAGATCCTGCCCTTTGGGCCTGGCCGAACCAGGAGGGCCGTGTACCGTCGATGTGGGTTTCATGCTTGTGCCTGGGATGGGCCTGCTGCCCAGTGGTACCAGCTGTGTCCTGTCCTGCAGTCCTTTCGCATGCCGAACTCCCATTGACTTCTGTGGGAGCTGTATATATGATCCCAGCCCTTAAACAGACTGCTTTACAGGCTGGGGTCACCAGGCCTTCCTGCCAGTGTATTACAGCTGGGGAAGGCAGTGTGGTCTAGTGGGTAGTGCACTGGACTAGGACTTAGGAGTCCTTGATGCTATTCCTGGCTCTACCAGTGGCCTGCTGGGTGGCTTTGCCTCTGTGCCTCAGTGTCCCCATCTGTAGCCCATTGGGGGGCTCCTGCCCTCAATTCGTAAAGCACCGTGAGCTCTGTGGATATAAAGTGCTAGATAAGGGCTCAGGACTGCTGTTATGATGATTAACTGGAGGGGCCGGACAGTCTGGTCAATGCCCCAACTGGTGCTGTGAGCAGAGGGCAATCTGGGCTCTGGTGTGACGGAGTGCGCCGCTGCTCAGGCTGAGATGGGGCAGTGCCTGCTGGGATATACAGTCTCCACTGGCTGTGCCTCTGTATTGCCCACCTGCTGCAGGACTGCAGCCTTGGCTGCCCCTGCTTGAGCCTGCCCTGGGGCCTGGTCCCACATGAGGACTCCTGTGCCTGAGTTGTCCTGCCCAGGCTAGCGCTCTGTTCTCCACCCCCCTCCAGCGAGCGGCTATTGCCCGACAATGGTGGGACTGCAGATCCTCTGTCAGCCCCAGCCCTGCACCTTGGACGAAGGGGACTCCCTCCAGCTGCGGTGCGTGGCCATCGGGAACCCACCACCCCAGTACCAGTGGTTCCGAAACGGGAGTCCGATTGAGGGGGCGCGGAACTCCCACCTCCAGGTACCCTCCCTTGGGGTCTGGGCAAGGGCTGCAGGCTGGGCAGGAGGCCTGTAATGGGTTGCAGACTCTCGGTAACGTGCTGTGGGCTCAGCAGCCCAAGGTGGGGGGGATCTGCAGTGCAGGACAGTGAGCGAGGGGTAATCCCCGGTTCAGCTCTCCAGGCCTAGCCCACCCAGGCACCTTCTATTGCATTCAGTGCCCGCAGTCCCCAGCTCACCAAAGGCAGATTCCTGGGGGCTCTAGCCCAGAGTGCAGAGTCCACCAGCTGGAACTTGCCTCTTCCTTTCCCCTCACTGCAGGTGAAGCTGGTGACAACCGCAGAGAGAGGCCGCTATGCCTGCAAGGTATTTAACCTCTTCCAGGAGCTGTGGAGCCAGGCCACAGAGGTGGAGATTGGTGAGGACTCGTGTCAGGACTCGGGATCTGTAGCCACCCCCACCGCAGGCCATTGGCAGGCTTGGAACGGGGCCTTCAGAACCAAAGCTCAGTCCTCCATTACTCGACCTAAAGGAGCAACTTTGTGCACGGGTAGCAGTAGTAGGCTGTTACCCTCTGTTGACCAACCGCTAGAGAACAGAAGCAACATTTTGCTCGCGTGTTGGACCCTTGGCACACTGAGCCTGCAGGCAGTCCCCACCCCACCACCCTGCCCTTTGCACTCCAGGTTTGTTGCCTGTTTAACAAGTCCTCAGCAATCCCTGCAGGAGAGCTCTGAGGCTGCTGGGCAGGCTGTGAAGTGATGTGGTCAGTCCTATGTGAAAATCAGATAATCATATGGGTTACATGCTAGTCACATGGCTTGGTGCAGCGGGGGAAGGTGCTTGATATCACAGTGATGGGCCTAGGCTGCCTTTTAAACCCAGGGAGCTCAGCAGGGGTCTCATGAACAGGTACTGGGGGTCACGACCACACTGGCTTGCTCATATTGTTAAATGGATGGGCCCCAGCTGCGTCCTGGCTAGACTGCAAGCGGGGGTGGGGGAGGAGTTGGAGACTCTTATTAAAATAATCCTCTGCCATGTTGGCCTGGAGTTCCCACCCCGGCATGGCCAGGGTCAGAGTTCCTGCCTCTAATACCTTTCTGGAGGCGTTGTGCGGGGAGCGGTCCCACCAAGCCTCGCCGAGGCCTGGGGTTGGGGGAAGAGACCACAGCGCCTCCTTATGGTGCTTCCTGTGCCTGTCTGCCAGCCCTACAGGGAGGACGGGGTTTGGGGCAAGGACTGTGGCATGAATGATCTCGGGCGTCTGTGGCCCCAATCAGCAGCCGGAGCTGGCGCTCACAGGCAGCCCTGCTCATCTCACCAGCCTCACTGCTTCACCCTTTGTTTTGTTCCAGGCCCACAGCTGTTTGCCTCCGGAGGCTCCTGGCGGGAGGAGGACACAGGTAGGTGAGGCCCACGTGGGTCCCACCCGGACCTAGGAGCTCCTATCTGAACACAGCTCCTCTGGGGCAGGTTAGGCATTGTCATGGCAGGCGTGGCTTTTACATGTGCTAGTTAGTGGACTGGACTTCTTCTTTGTCCTCACCCAGCTTAGCTGGCTGCTGGGGGCCGAGTGCCTGCCCTACGGCCCAGGGGAGTGCTGCTCTCAGCATCTCTCCATGGGCAAGGGAGCTCCTGGGACTTGTGTTGTGTTGCTAGGGTTCCCACCCTGCCAAGGGGGGGCAGGGTCTACCAGCCATGGTGCCTATGTTGCGCTCAGAGAGGTGATCATGTGTCCCATTCTTTCCAGGGAGTGCTCCAGAGCACAGCGGCCCCAGCCAGCTGTACGGTAAGAGGCTGCATCCAAATCCCCAGGCCAGACCTCCATTTAGAAATGGATCGAGAGATACAGCTCTCGGCCTTCCCCGCTTCATACGTGCATCCTCCTCCTGGTGCCAATGCAGGGACCCATTCCAGACTGTTCTCCCAGCCAGCCCCTGTCTCAGCTGGCCTGTGGAGAAACATGTCTCCCACAACCAGGTCAGCTGAGCCATCCTCACGCGGGCTCCTCCCCGTGGATTGGGCATTGAACCAATGTGGATCCAGCCCTGCCCGTGGACGTGAGAGATGGAGAAGCGCCATCAGACCAGCCCTAGGATTGGCCTGGCAATGCAATCTCCAGGGCTCTGTCCATCTCCCACCTCCTCCACGGCTTTGCAGCATGTCCTACTGCCCCAAAGATGCACCACCCCCGCTGCAGACCTGGCATCCACTGGCAGGCAGCGAGGGCAGCATGCTGGCTATTTTAGTCAAAGCGTGGCCTTCAAGGGAGAGCCAAAGGCTTGTCTGGAGGGATGAGCCAGCTGGAGGGAGGGCTCTGCCTTCGTTTGGAGTAGAGGTTTAGGCCCAGGGCTAAAACTTGGGTCTGACTAGTTACATCCCTGCTCTAGAGAGCCCATCCACAGCAGGTGGGGCAAGAAGCTGTCTGGGGTGGTGCTGAGTGTGAAGGGGAGATAGAAGCAGGGAGAGGATGAAGGTTCATCCCAAAGGGCCCAGGAGGGTTCCCCTCGTTCCCTCCCCAGGCCCTTCACGTGTTCCTCTTGTCCTTCTCCTGGGGCAGCCACAGACAAAGTGGCCCTCCTGATGGGCAACATGAACTACCTGTACCACAAGCATCTGAAAGCACCCATGGTGGACGTCCATGAACTGACCAACCTGCTGCGCCAGCTGGATTTCAAGGTGGTCTCCCTGCTGGACCTGAGCAAGGACGAGATGCAGATGGCCGTCAACGAGTTCCTTCTCCTCTTGGACAAAGGAGTGTACGGTACAGAGGGAGCTCCCTATGTTGCTGGGTAGGGGTAGGAGAACTCCTTCTTTACTGGAGGAGGGGATGTCTGTGTGGTGTACATTGGTCTACGCGGGAATAGGCCATTTCCTTCCAGGGCCCCGGCCCCTCTGGGCAGACTAGTGCAGGCTGGGAAGGGCAGGACTTCTTCACCAGTAAATACACAGGAAGGTTTTCATGAACATTTCAAAGTTTTCCCCAATTTTAAACTTAAAAAATGTTACCCCCTCGGTGGAGGCACCCGTTTCCTACCCTTCTTGTGGCTGGGAGGTTGGGCAGCATCTCGGGGGCTCAGGCAATAAAAGCAGAAGGTGATACGGTGTGATAGAGCGGGTGTATTTTAGATAGTTGTATCATTTCTCTTAATCACCCTCATTCACTTGTCCAAGTGCCAGAAGGGAGTTAGCACTGAGTGATTGTCACCAACTTTAGACTGTCTGGGAGGTGTGGGATTGGTAACAGCCCGGTGGTGGTCACAGACTCACCATGGGGTAGCAAGGAGCACTGGTGAATGCCCTTCCTTGCTCTCACTAATGCTCAGCACTAGCCTGGCCCACTGTACCTGTTCAGCATGCCATGCAGCCCAGGGACCAGCGTCACGATAACTCAGCGTTATTATTAAACATGTCAATGGAGGTGGCGCCTGGGCCAGTGCTGGGCGCTGTACAGACATACAGAGGGCGCGGAGCTTACTGTCTGAATGACAGGAAGGTAATGGGGCCATAAGGAGAAGTGAGTGAGCAGGAGGGAGGGATGGGGCGACAGGAAGACAAATGTAACAGGAGCTGGGTATCCCCTAGCTCGACAGGTGCAGTGGCCACAGTAGCAACCTAGGAGATGCCCACAGGAAAGTGCCCCAGCAGACACGGGGGCGAGGAGGGACTTGGAGGGACCAAGGGATGGCTGGAGGATTCTGTCTGGGTGCCTCCCCCTCGGGACAGGAGAGAGCACACGGATGCCGGTGGGAGAAGCCAAGCATGGGGCCCTGGAGGCTGGATTGTTAGCAGCTCAGTGGGAGCTGCCCGGAGATCAGGCCCAGCATGCTGGGTGAGGCCGAGCTGTGAAGGCTCTGTCATTAAGGACAGGGTTTGGATTAGCAGGCTTTGGCGGGGTGGCATAGCCAGAACCTGGATCCTGCTGAAGGCCTAAGGCAGGACATTTCTGGGCTTCTCCTCCTACAGTCTGGCCAAGAGAGGATCCCACAGTCCATTGCCGCAAGCAGGAGAGGGAACTCCAGTCAGTATGTCCCCAGGGATGGGCGGGAGGAACATGGCGAGCTGAGGAGGGTTGTGTGTAGATCAGACGGAGAAATGAGTGGGAAGGAGGAGGAGAACCTGAGCCCCCCCGGAATGGACTTTGCAGCCCTGGATGCAGTGGGCTGCAAGGCCAGCATTAGGAGGGTGGCAGAGATGGAGAAGGTGTGAGAGCAGCACAGACCGGTGCAGATTGACGTGCTCTGCTCCTGCTCTCCCTCCCCCAGGTTTGCTCTACTACGCTGGCCATGGCTACGAGAACTTTGGAAACAGCTTTATGGTTCCTATTGATGCGCCAAGATCCTACACCTCGCAGCACTGCTTGTGCGTGCAGAGTGTGCTGCAAAGCATGCAGCAGCGGCAAACCGGCCTCAACATCTTCCTGCTGGACATGTGCCGCAAGAGGTGAGCACACCAGAGCCAGCGGCACAGGCGCAGCAGGGCCAGGATGCGGCACTCGGCACAGTGCATACGCTCTCCCCTCCCGCGGACGCAGAGGGGGCACAGTTCTTGGCTGCCTGCTTTGAGGGCCTTGGCTGGAAGGTACTGTGTAAGTGCAAGGGACGTACGCAGCACGGGCGTGTGAAAGCAGTCCCTTGGCTTGCCAAAACACCAACACTCTCACATATACAGACACTGGTGCAAGCACACGTGTGACCACGCTACCAGGTGTGAAATATTATAGCCACACACACTGAGGTCATGCACACCATGTGTGTCCATGTGCACACGTAGCTGCCTGCGGGCCTGCGTATACCCAGGGGTTCCTACCCAGGCGCACGCAAGAACATGCACGCAGAGGCAGCCACCATGCATTCCCACCCACAGGCGCATCGCCCCACTGCCCAGTGAAACCAGCTGTGATTACTCCTGAAAGGGGATGCTGGACAGAGAGAGAGAGAGGTCCCTTGTCAGAACTAACTCCAGTGCTTCCCCGGAAAGCAGCCATCCCCAGGGGAACCCCTGTGGAAAGGAGAACAGCAACAAATCCACAGCCAGGGGGCCAGAGTTCTTCTCCAGATACTCTGTCCTCTAGCCCAGTGTCCCGTTGGCGGCTGCCTGGGCTCCCAGCCCACACAGATGTTCTGCAAGGGCATGCCAGTCACCTGCTGTAGGGCACTGAGCAGCTAAATACTCTTGGCCATTGAACCTGTGCAGCCTGACTGCTGCTAAGCTGGCAAGTGCCATGTTGCCCCATCACTGGCAAATGACACTATTCAACCAAGTAAAGACACTGTAGCCTCCAGGCGCAGACAGATTTAGATCTAGGCGCCCGCTTTTAGTATCCCGCTCGTTGGCCGATCTAACAGGTCTTCCCCAGCTAGGAGTACTGCACTGCTGCCAGTTGGTGTCTCCTTGTGTTGGCACAGTGGCTTCATGCTAACCAATCCATCGGGCTTGCATTGTTTCCAGCCCAGTCCATGTTTGTTCCTTACAGCATGTTTTGCAGGACTTTGTCCTGTCTGGGCCTGGGGGGCCCAAGCAACAGGGCTCCCACCTGAGGGACTAGTCCACTACCTCCCAGAGCTCACTGATAGGCAAGGCTCAGGCTGAATAGCATGAAACTTTCCTCTGCTCTTCTGATCAGAGCCCATTGGCATGGCCCAAGCCCAGAGGTCCAGAGCGACCATGGATTGTGTAGGTTTCATGCCCCTCATGAGGTGCTTCCATTTCTTTCCAGGAACCTGAACGATGACATCATCCCACAGGTGGGGGCGCTGCAGGTCACGGCCAACATCGTCTTCGGCTACGCCACGTAGGTGCTCCCTGTCACCTCCTGCTGGCCACAGTCACTTCTCATCTGTGTCCTCCTGGGGCTTGAGTGGGGGAACGGGCGCAGGGTCCATTACAGGGAACTGAACCCACCAGTCACTCTGGTTTTGGAGAGCTGCTAGCAGGGATGTGTCCTGCATGGGCCTCCTGGGAGAAAGGGCAATAATGCAGCATACCTCCATATTGCCTCTCACCCCAAGCTCTCCAAGAGGCAGCCTGGTCTAGAGGTTAGAGCACAGGGAGTCAGTGTCAAAAGAGCTGGGTTCGGTACCCCATTCTGCAGCAGCTTGGGCATGTCAGGTCCCTGCTCTGTGCCTCAGGCTCCTTCCCCCATCTATAATGTGGCCGTAACAATTCTTGGCCACCTGCTTTGAGCTCCTTGTCTGGAAGGTGCTAAGGGACTGTGCAGAGCACTTTTAATTCATTACGCATCACAGTCCTCTTTGAAGAAGGTAGAGTTATCATCCCCCATTTAGAGATGTGGTAACTGAGGCACAGCAAGCCAAGCTGGCATTCCACCGCCCACATGGCTAATCCATGCCAAGCTGGACAGAGAACCCAAGTGTCCTGCCTCCGAGTCCTGGGCTTCGTTCTCCAAACAGCACTTCCCCCCAGCTGCATGTGCTGTGTATTTTGTTCAGCTCCACGTCTCTGTCCCAAGCCAGAACTTCTCCCCTCTGTAACTTGAGGGGAGGGGGCAACTTTCTGGGGCTGCTGCTGCTTTGGGGGGGTAGGTACGTCTGTCTCTCAGGCCTGCTGAGCTCTCGTGGTGGGGAGCTGTGTCATGAGCAGGCTCTGCAGGAGTGGAGAGCAGGGGGAATCCCCCCTCAGACTGGCCTTGGAGAGCAAAGCAAGGGGCCGGCTCCGGGGCCGGGGGCTCCACGAGAAGCAAGGCTCTGGTTCCCATTGAACCACAAGGGCAGCAAAGTCCCTGCAGCCCTGTGAAAAACCCAGCTTTAGAACACAAGAGGATCCAAACTCTCTTCCCCCCTCATCTTAGCTATTGGCTACCTTGATAGGCCCTAGGCCCAGACCCAAACCTGAACTTCCCCAGGTTGTAAGGGTGTCTGGAGCCAGGGTCTTGGTTCCGGCCCATCTCTGGTGAGCCATCCTGCCTGAACCCGAAGCTTCCTCAGGAGTCTGAATCAAGCCAGCTGCTGTTGAGGCCAGGTTCCCAGGAGCAAAGTCTCAGTACATTCTGTGCTGAGCGGGAGAAAGGGAGCAGTTGGGTGTAGAAGAGTCTTCACCCCTCCTATGAAGGAGCTCCAGGCCTTAGCTCTCTTCCGTGCCCCTCTCAGATGTGTGGACGCAGAGGCCTACGAGCTGAGCCAAGGGGAGCTGTTCAACGGCATCTTCGTCAGCTTCCTGAAGCGATGGCTGCTGGAGGAGGAGAAGATCACGGTGCTGCTGGACAAGGTGGCGGAAGGTGGGTTATCCAGGGGCGAGGGTAGAATGGCTCTTCCAGGCCAGCCCGTCACACCTCAGGACTGTCTGCGAGCAGCTGACTCACCACTGTGCTGAAGTCGTTTGCCTGGCCCTGGTTGTGTCTTCCAGACATGGGAACCCTGGAGATCACGAAGGGCCGGCAGGCGCTGGAGCTGCGGAGTAACCTGTCCGAGCGACGAGCCCTCACCGATCCAATTAAACCATCTGAGGGCCCAGAGGAGATCTCTGTCAGGAACCTGCAATGGGCCAAGGCCCATGGTGAGCATCATGGCCCCGTCATCCCTGCTGACAGAGCAGTGGTGAGAGGCAGACAGCGAGAGAGGCCTGTCCTGGAGTTGGGGGGAAGGGGGTTACTCAGGGAGCCCCCAGGGATTGCAGTGACTCGGGGAGGTCTCAGCCTATGGAGCAGGCATTGCAATGCAGTTACCCAGAAAGCACGGGAGTGGGCAGAGTGCCGTCAGTGCAGCCAACCATGGAGAGCCAGAGCACGAGGGGCGCACAGCTGGGCCCAGCAGGAAGCCTAGATCTCGTCGAACTTCTGCAAATGGCTTTGCTGCTATTGGCCCAGCTCTGATCAGGACAAGCACTGCTGGGATGGTCTTAGTGTCACAAAGCAGCTGCCATCAGGGAGCTCCACACTGACCCTGGGGACAGGACCCAGAGCCTCCTCCGCTCCCAAAGTGCAGGCCCCTGCCATGTGAGCTGAAGGAGAATCTCCATTAATAGTGTTAGTAGAAGAGGGCCCAGGACACACGGCTGAGCGGTTCTCATTCTGACCAGTGGGTGGCAGTGACACACACACGCGTATCACGGCCCCATTTCTTTGTTTGCAGTGCTTCCCGAAAGCCGATACCTCCAGTTCGACTGCGGGGCTCGGGTACAGCTGGGTTTCGCAGCTGAGTTCTCCAACATCTTGATCATTTACACCCGCATCGTCGAGATGCCACAGGAGATCACACGATGTGAAGCAAAACTCACAGATGTCCCGGAGGTGAGAGGCCCAGTGCCAGAGCCTGCCTGGCTCAGAGACCTGGCTCGGGATAACCGCGGGGTTGGGGGTTCAGCGCTGTGAACAACGGGGATGTGAGAGCAAGCGCTCGGCTAGGCCCATTCCCACGGGGGCGTTTCCCCTTCGCTCCAGAGAGTGGCTCAAGCAGCAAAGTCCCAGCTGCAGGGCAGCCCAGTTGGAGAGGTACTGCCTGACCAAGTGTCCCGGCTCCTACTCCTGCTCTACAGGACACCGGGGAGACCCCAGAAGGTCATGCAGGGATGTCAAACAAGGGGACGGTACAAAGAAACTGCCCCTGTGGCAGGAGCCAGCCACAGTTTGCAGTCCCTGACACGGCTCCCACTTAGCGCCTAACTGGCCTTTGGAATTCTGCCTTCACGCCTGACACCGTACGAGGAGAGAGGGCAGAGGAAGGCGCACCACAGAGGAAGGGGGTCAGGCTGACAGGCAGGGCCCTACCGCTCAGCTCATCACCCCCTCCCTGGTCTCCCCAGAGGGAACAAGAAGCTTGCCTTATATAGCCCCACCTTTCCCAGCATTCCTTGCTGACCCCCCCTTCTGGACTGAACACAGAAAGAGGCTGTGCTGTGCTCGCAGCCTCCCTTCAAGGCAGCTGCCTCTTACAGGCACGACATCAGTGCCAGTGTTGCCAACTCTCACGATTTCATTGCGAGGCACTGGCATTGGGTGTGTTCCTTGAGCCCCAGCTCCTGGAGTCATGTGAAGATGCAGGAAGCTCACTCTTCATTTGGCAAGCGAGGACATGTCTATCCCTCCTGGCCGCAGTGAAAACGTGACCCTTAAAGGCTCTGAGCACGGAAAGCAATGAACCAGACCCTCCCCCATTATTATTTTAAAAATCTCATGATTTCGGGGGCGCTGACTCATGATTTCGGACCACATGGGGTGGGCGGTTCCCCAGAGCCTGATGCCCTCTTGTGCCTTGGCTGCCTTTGATGACAGTGTTGTCTCTGGCAGGAGCTGGACGTGGATTTGAAATTCACCAACAAGGAGAGCCCAGAGGAAATGGGGAGCAGCCTCGCCTTGGCCTGGAGCCTCAGTTTCCCCGATTGTTGCCTCTACAGCCGCCTCTGCGGCCTGCAGAAACTGAGGGTAAGTGCTGCCCCGCCCTGTCGGTGCTGGTCCTGGTGAGACCGCTGGCTGTGTAACCACACCCAAGGTGGAATGGACTCCAGCTCCCTCTCCTTTGGCTGCACAGCTTCCGCAGGGCCAACAGGGGCTAAAGGCGGGGAAAAAATAATGACCCTGAACGTGCAGAAGGAGGCCAAATGAAGCTCTAGTGTACATGGGCTGGCTCACTCCACTGCCTTCGGGGGACTCCTGCGCCCTGACACTGGGGTTCGGATCCTTCTCAACAGGGCACTCCAGCGCTGGACCCCCTGGGGAAGGATTGCTGGGCTTTGCTGGAGTGAGTGACTGTTACCTTTGGGGCAGGGACTGTTTGTTCTGTGTTTTTACAGCGCCTAGTGCAGCGGGGTCCTGGTCTGGGACTGGGGCTCCTAGGCGCCCTGGCAACGCACATAATGAATAGCAGCCTCAGCGGGCAGGAGCTCCCCATGCTACTACTGAATGTTATAGTGAATGGATCCAATGCATCCCTCAAGTAACACCCAAGTTATTATCTAGTGGCACCTAGAGTCGCCAGCTGACAGAGGGCCCCATTTCCTGGGCAATGCACAGACAGTCCCTGCTCACAGACACACGCCAACAGGAGCCAGACAAAGGCAGTAGCATCCCCATTGTATAGCTGGAGAACCAAGGGGGAGAGAGGTGAAGTGATTTGCCAAGGGTCTGTGGCAGAGCTAATTTGACCCAGGTCTCTGGGTTCCCAGGCCAGTGCCTTCCCCACAAGTTCATCCTGAATGGTGCTGAGCCCCTGGAACAGAGTCCCAGCAGGATGGAGTTGGCACCATCAGGAGTCAACGGACCAGCATGGACCTTGTGACTGGTGGTTAAGGAAAGGGCAGTGGGGAGTGATGTAGATGTCTTAAGGTGATAACAGTGTCACACGGTCCAGTCACATACCCACCTGTGGTAACCGCAGTTTGTGGTGTCGTTGCAGAAGGAACTGGTCTTCACCGTCTGCCTGCAGTACCAATACCAAGGACTCGATGACTTCATAGAGGAGAGCCAGTCAGTAAATATCGGGAAGCCACTGATTGCAAAGCTCAATCTGTGTGTCAGCAACGGGCCAGGGACAAACACCCCACTGGCCCATGCAGACTTGTGTGCAGATGCCTTGACCGGCTCATTCCAAAGCATCAGGAGCATGGAGAACCCCGAGTCACCAGCTGCGTCAGAGACCTACCAGAGTCTGCCTTGTGACTCGCACCTTGGCAACTGGTGTTCTGAGGATGGCCAGTGGGTAAACACCCCAGAGGAGAACCTGAGCCCTGAGTTCCCAGGCTCTCACTCCATGTAGCGCTCGGGGTCTGGCATAAACGTCACCGTCCACTTCTTTTCCCCGTGTGGACCGAGGGAAACTGCTAGGGTCAGCTTCTGCCTTGGCCTCCACCCCATGCACAGTTGGGGGGGAGGGATAGCTCAGTGGTTTGAGCATTAGCCTGCTAAACTCAGGGTTATGAGTTCAATCCTTGAGGGGGCCATTTAGGGATCTGGGGTAAAAATTTGGAATTGATCCTGCTTTGAGCAGGAGATTGGACTAAATGACCTCCTGAGGTCCCTTCCAACCCTGATATTCTATGATTCTCTGATCTGGGCCTGAGGACCTTTGGTGGGACCCCAGTGCAACGAACTGTAATCTGTGGGGGTTCTTGGGGCAGTTGGCCTTTACATGCCTCAGCTCATTACATTTAAAACATCGCCCAGCTGCCTGGTCACTGGGGTGAGGTGGGTTGCTGGAGGACAGTGTGGTGGGACAATAAGGTGTCTGGAGTGTTCCTTGGGGTGTAGTTAAGGCCTTGGGCTGCCCCCAGTAGTAGGGTGTGGTCTGAAGGTGTCTCTTCTGGTATCCGCTCCAACTGCGACCAGGGTTGTTCCTCTCTCCTCCCTCCACCCGTTTTGTTCCGGTTTGCCCTGCCTATCTAGTGGTTTGGGACTGCTCATATTGATCAGCATAAGAAGCAAGACTTCCTGCTGAGTCCATTTTCTTATCCCATAAACACTGTTTTATTTCCTCCTTGGACATATTCAGGAATTGCTCCTGTATCATCAAATACTGCATTCCTCCAAAGCTAGTTACATCCCGTCCTTTGAGCCATTTATCAAACAGATCTGTCATCCAGTTTACATAAGCCACATTACTTAGTCCAGGTCCTCTCTTAAGGGCTATAAATTTTACTCTGAAAGTTTCAGGTGTAACTTGAAATTGTTTTAAAACCAAATCCTTGAAATTATTATAGTCAGAAACCTCCTCAATAGGCATCTTATTGGATATGTCCAGAGCTCTTCCAGTCAATTTTACGACCAATGTGGTCATCTTGTGAGCTTCAGGAATTTGATGGAGAGTGCACAGTCTCTCAAAGGTGAAAAAATATTCAGCAATATCACTGGATTCATCATACTGTGGACATAGTCACTCCCATTTGTGGATTGTTGGGGAAGGATTGTTAGGGTTATTCGGTATATTCTGCTGAGCCTTTGCCTTCTCTATCTCCAATGCATGCTTCCTCTCTTTTTCCCTCTCCTCCATTTCTTTTTCCTTTGCCTCCATTTCTTTTTCTTTTGCCTCCATAGCTCTCTTGTGGGCAGCTTCTTCTGCGTCCACCCTGGCTTTTTCTTTGGCTGCTTGTGCATCAGTCTCCATCTGTCTGAGTTCTACCCACCTTTCATGTTCCTTCTGTCGTTCCTCAGCTTCCAATCTGGCTAATTCCAGTTTCTGTTGGACATTTCATTCTGTCATCCTAACCTCTCTGTGTTTAACCTAGCTATACCTGAGAGTTAGAAAGAAAAAAAAAACTGGCTTGCAAAATTTTGCTGTGCTGTAACCTGATACCTGATAGCTGTTCTCAGCCTACAGAAAAATCCTTTTATTATGGAGCTGCTCTGTCCCCCAGGCAGAGACAGAAAAAACTCTAACTGCTTTCAGCTTAAAACCTGCTTCCAAGCAGCCCAAAGGGGAAAAAAAATTGTCCTTTTAAAATCCTACTGTGCTTCTGGTTCAATGAACCCACCGCTCTGCCACCATGTCAAGGTTCCTTCCCCACTCTGAACTCTAGGGTACAGATGTGGGGACCTGCATGAAAGACCCCATAAGCTTATTCTTACCAGCTTAGGTTAAAAACTTTCCCAAGGTACAAACTTTGCCTTGTCCTTGAACAGTACGCTGCCACCACCAAGAGTTTTAAACAAAGAACAGGGAAAGAGACCACTTGGAGACGTCTTCCCCCAAAATATCCCCCCAAGCCCTAGACCCCTTTCCTGGGGAAGGCTTGATAATAATATCCTCACCAATTGGTAACGGTGAACACAGACCCAAACCCTTGTATCTTAAGAACAATGAAAAATCAATCAGGTTCTTAAAAGAAGAATTTTATTTAAAGAAAAGGTAAAAGAATCACCTCTGTAAAATCAGGATGGTAAATACTTTACAGGGTAATCAGATTGAGAACATAGAGAATCCCGCTAGGCAAAATCTTAAATTACAAAAAGACACAAAAACAGGAAGACATATTCCCTCCAGCACAGCAAATTTTACAAGCCCTTAAATAAAAGAAAATCTAACGCATTTTCTAGCTAGATTACTTACTAACTTTAGAGGAGTTGGAAGGCTGCATTCCTGATCTGTTCCCGGCAAAGCTATCCCACAGACGGACAAAACCCTTTGTCCCCCCTCTCCAGATTTGAAAGTATCTTGTCTTCTCATTGGTCATTTTGGGTCAGGCGCCAGCGAGGTTACCTTAGCTTCTTAACGCTTTACAGGTGAAAGGATTTTTCCTCTGGCCAGGAGGGATTTTATAGCACTGTATACAGAAAGGTGGTTACCCTTCCCTTTATATTTATGACAGGAGTGCAGCAACTACACCAAAGAACAATGCAAATCGCCATGTTTGGTGCTCATTGGTGCCAGGTGCTGTTCAGCAGCTCCTAACAGGCCTGACAAACTCACTAAACCTAGTGCACTGTTTTCATGGCATTTATCCAAAACTGATATCATGGGAGGTCTCTAATGAAAGCTTATGACATACTGAGCCTCATAATCAGTGAGATGTATGTATGGTTGATATTTAAGGAATTGTGTATTTGTATTAATTTCAAAGTCTGTGTCTAAGGCAGGGTCGACAAGCAGGTTTTTGCCAGCCAGAGGATGTATGGTCACCTGCCTGCCTCAGTTCACATGTCAATTAAGCATTGTAGCCCAGCACAACGGAAGCCCTGTTTGCATAAGAAGTCAACATGAGGATGTGAAGTCAAAATAAAATCAGCACACCAGAGAATAAACCCTGGGGCAGGGCATCATTCTGCCTTTGGGGACCAACAATGAACTTGGGGGATAGAAGGAGAAGTCAAAAGGACACCTCTTTTTTATCCTGCACCTGAGGAAGTAATCAAGCAGCCAGGGTTAGAATCGCTGCAAGCAGGCTTTGGGTGAGAATGGACAGCTGACAGGTGATTAGCCTGGTAAAGTTAAGTTTAGTCTCTAGAAGGTGACTATTGATGTTGTATATGTAACTTTTCTGTTTCCATTATCCTTATTCACTATCTCAGTAATCTTTTATAATAGACTTATGGTTGTTTTCACTATTAATATATCTCAGTGCTGTGGTGTTATACAGGAGCTGATCCTGAGTTGATTCAAACAAGCTTGTGTGTGCATTGTCCTGTTAGGGATAGCAAACCTGGTATTTCTGTGAGTAGCCAGTGACAGGGACTGGATATCACAGGAGAATGTGTCAAGGGGGCTCAGGGACTGGGGTACATCTATAGTTAACCTGCAAGGCGAAGACAGGGCTGGCATAGCCCAGAGAAGAATGTTTGAGTGGCTGAAAGGCAGGTGTTGTTAGAGAGCTGACACTCAGCCAGGCACAGGCAGGACTTCTTCACAGTGGAAGCAGGGGCTAACAAGGTGACTCACTGTCCTGGGTACCCTGAGAATCATCACAGGATCATGCCTTGATCACATTTATAGTATGCAAATAAAGTCCAGACTAGTGATATACGTATGTGGTGCTTTAAAAGGGCCAGTTTCTCAAAGCTGAAAACAATGAGCCAAATCAGTTGGGAGGAAGAATTTAATCAGAAAAATGTGAATGATAATTGGGAATTGTTTAAGAACATTTTATTAGATGCAGTAAAGTCACAATCCCACAACTGATAAAGACGGCCATATTGGTTAAAAAACTGAGCTGGTTTAGAGGGGAAGTGAAGACAGTTATTAAAAAAATAAATAAATAGTATATAACAAATGGAAGAAAGGGAAAGTTGATAATAATGAATATAAATCAGAAGGTAGGAACTGTAGAAATTGACAAGGGAAGCCACGGGACACAAGGCAAAATCTACATCCAGAAAGTTAAGTTTAATAAGGAGTTTTTAATGCACATTAGGAACAAAAAGGATCCTGACAATAGCTTGGTCGATTAGGAGATGGAATTTGTAGAATTATCAATAATAACAAAGAAAAGGCCAGTCAGCCCGACTTCAATGCCTGGGAAGCTACTAGAGCAATGTATAAAACATTCCATTTGTGAATACCTGGATGATGAAGGGGTAATTACGAGCAGCCAGCATGAATTTATTAAGAACAAATAATGCCAAACTAGCTTGATTTTCCTTCTTTGAGAGGGTAAGTGATTTGGTGGATGGGGCAATGCATTGGACCTGGATTTCAACAAGGCTTTTGACAGTCATGGAACATCAGGAGATCATCTAGTCTAACCCCCTGCTCAAAGCAGGACCAATTCCAAATTTTCACCCCAGATCCCTAAATGGCCCCCTCAAGGATTGAACTCACAACCCTGGGTTTAGCAGGCCAATGCTCAAACCACTGAGCTATCCCTCCCCTGCAGTCCCGCATGGCAATTTGATAGTAAACTGGAGGAATGTGGGATGAGCAGACCTACCATTAGGTGGATGCATAATTGGTTAAACAACTGCAAACAAAGAGTAACTATTAATGGAATGATGTCAGATTGGAAGGAGGTCTCAAGTGGGGTTCCGTAGGGATCTGTTGTTGGTCTGGTGGTGTTTAAGATCCTTTTTAGTGACCTGGATGTAGGAACAGAGAGCATACTGACCAAATTTGCAGATGACACACTGCCGGGGGGAGGGAGAGTTTGCCAATGCTTTGCAAGATAGAGCTAAAATTCAGAGAGATCTTGATAGATTGGAGAAGTGGGCTACAGGCAACAAAATGAAATTCAACAAAGACAAATGTAAGGAGCTACACTTAGGGAAGAAAAACCAAATGCACAAATACTGAATGGGGGATAAATGGCTTGGCAGCAGCACTGCTAGGAAGGATCTGTGAATTGTGGTGGATCACAACCTCAACATTTGAGTCAACAATGTGATGCTGTTGCAAAAAAAGCAAATGCAGTTTTAGGTTACATTATCAGAGGTATAGCATGCAAGTCACAGGAGGTGATAGTACTATTATATTTGCTGCTGGTTAGCCCTCAACTAAAGTACTGTGTCCTTTTTTGGTCACCAACATATAGCGAGGAGGTAGAGAAACTGGAAAGGATCGAGAGGTGAGTGACAAAGATCAAAGGGATGGAATGCGAGCCATATGAGCACAGGCGGAAGGAACTGTGTTTGTTTAGTTTGGAAAAGAGGAGATTAAGAGGAGATATGATCGTGGTTTTCAAATACTTAAAAATACATTAAAAAGGTGGAGAAAAGTTGTTCTTTCTTGCCACAGAGGGCAGGACATGAGGCTACAGCAAAGCAGATTTAGATTAAATCTCAGGAAAAAATTCCTAACTGTAAGAAGAGCAGGACAATGGAACAGACTGCCCAGGGATGGTGTGGAAGCTTTCAAAAGGAGGCTGGAGCCATCTGTCTGGGATGGTTTAGACACAACAAATCCTGTGTCTTGGCAGGGGGTAGACTAGATTACCCTTGCAGTCCCTTCTAATCCTATGATTCTAAGACAAAAGTGTTCAATAAATATATGTGTTCGGTATGTGGGGGAAAACATGATGTAGTCATTTCATATGATGAAAAGGAGCATAAGCTTTCATGAGCTACAGCTCACTTCATCGGAGGCTGTAGCTCATGAAAGCTTATGCGCAAATAAATTTGTTAGTCTCTAAGGTGCCACTATTACTCCTTTTCTTTTCGCGAATACAGACTAACATGGCTGCTACTCTGAAACCTGTCATTATGCAAGGCACTCATTTCATATGATAACACTCTTTCCATTCCACTAGTAGCTCAGGCGCATGTTAAACAGCAGTGACTAAACTTAAGCATTTTTAAATCAGCAGGTCCAGATAACTTGCATTCCGAGAGTTTTAAAAGAGTTGGCTGAGGAGCTTGCTGAACCCTTAATTTTGACTTTCAATAAGCCTTGGAGCACTGGAGAGGTTCCAGAAGACTGGAAGAGAGCTATTATGCCAATTTTTAAAAAGGGTAACTGGGATGACTTGGGTAATTATATGCCTATCCATCTGACATCAGTCCCTGGCAAGATAATGAAGCAGTTGCTATGGAACTAGATTAATCAAGATTTGAGGATAAGATAATTAATGCCAATCAACACTTCTTTTTGAAAATAGATCCTGTCTTGATATCTTTTATTGAAGAGATTACAAGTTTGGTGGATAAAGGTAATAGTGTTCATGTGATAGGGTAGACTACAGTAAGGCATTTGACTTGGTACCATACAATGTTTTGATTAAAAAATAGAAACTTAAGAAAATTAACACCGACACATTAAGTGGATTAAAAGCTGCCTAAATGATAGGTCTCAAAATGTAATTTAACATTTTTATTAATGACATGGAAGAAAACAAAATAATCACTGATAAAATTTGCAGATGACACAATAATTGGGGGAGTGGTAAATAATGAAGACGACAGATCACTGATTCAAAGTCATCTGGATTGTTTGGTAAATTGGGTGCAAGCAAACAATATGCATTTTAATATGGCTTCCTGTAAATGTAGACATCTGTAAAAAAGAAGGGAAGCCATAATTACTGGTTGGAGGCCAGCATTTTTTGTGGTACCACACTATTTCTATTTTTTCCATTTTTCTCAAGTTTTTAAAGTGGAAATATTCATTTTTCCATTTTATTGCAAACCCCCCCCCCCACACTTTTATCATACAATACTGTTGTATACAATCAGTTGCTGATCACTTGCTGTTCAGACTCCCTGTCTCTATAGACTGGTAAGCCTTTGAAATGGAGTCTACTGAAAAGTAAAACCCAGACCTAGCTTCTCTGGCCTGCTGGGTGTAGTCATGCTGTCTCTTCCCCCACTTGTTAGCTTGATAGCTTTATTTATCTGGCATGCCAAGGTGCCTTCATTGTCTTTGCCTACTGACCAAAGTGGTCCACACATGCTGACCCCCTCCCCCAAATAACCTTGTGAGGTTTGATGGTTCTGTTTAGCAAACATGTAAATTGCAATTCCATTGTCTCTGCTTGACCCTGCTTCATTTGTAGTCAAGACCTGTGCAAACCTGTTTACCAGCTCCCCCTGACATGCCTGGCTAAAACACACTTTAGTCATAATTCCAGTGTATGTCTTTTACTCTTAATACACATTTCATGATGCCTCACAAGGCATATTTTGTACAAACATTATTACAACGGTGCGTACAGTGTGAATACTGGGGTGCTTAGTGTCACAAGGCACATGGAAGCTGCTGCCCCTGGATCCTTCAGGCTGGCAGGGGTAGTTGCTTGCCACCACATCTGGATCCTTCAGGCCCATGGGATGGAGTGCAGATGGCCGTGTTATGCCACCAGTGGATCCCCGAGGCTGGTAGAGGTGGGTGTGGGAAGATGGATGCTGTTGCCACAGGATTCTTGAGGCCTGAGGAGAGGGTGTGTTGGGGGGTGGGGGGGTTGGAGATAGCCAGGTGCCACTGCCACAGGATCCTTGTGGATCACACGGATCCGGTGAGGGTAGAATCCAGCTGCCGCCACCACCGTGGTGGCAGAACCCTGCAGCCCTCCCCTGGCCCCAGTGTCACCCTCAGTGATCCAGTAGCGGTGACGCACAAGCGCCTCCGACCCTACCCCCTAGGGATCCCGTTGTGCCTCAGGGGTCCAGTGGTGGCCACCTTCAGCAGCCCACACCCCTCTGTCAGCCTCAGGGATCCTGGCTGTCCCCTCGCCCCCGCTGGCCTCAGAGATCAAATGATATGGAGCATCCAGCCGAACACTGTAACCGCAGGAAGCAATCCTGTTTGACGGCACCTGGTTATCCCCCACACGCTCCACATTCACCAGCCTCAGGGATCCACTAGCAGTGGCATCCAGTTGCCTCAACTCCCAACCCAGGGATCCAGTGGCATCGGCCACCAGACGCTCCTGGCTGCAGCAATGCCCCAACCAGTGCCAGGGATCCATCCCCAGCCCCCACCTGGCCAGCCTCAGCGATCCAGAGTTACCAGCCTCAGAGATCCAGTGGCACCTGACCACCTCCCCAAACTGGTCTCAGTGGCCATGGCACCCAACTGCCTCCACTCCCAAAATGGCCTCAGGGATCCAGTAGCAACAGCACCTGATTGCCCCCATATCCCCAGCCTGGCCTTAGGGATGCAGTGGCAGCAGCATCCAGCTGCCTCAGGGATCCAATGGCTGTAACACCCAGCCTCACCAAATATCATGTTCCTGTACCAGATCTGGACTGGCTAGAGTGCTTGCTAATCCGCACCAGCTGTGTTCCTCATCAGAGCCTTTGATTCTCTGCTAGGTATGGCTGAGACAAGGTGGGTGAGTGTGATGGGATCCCCAGGGTACAACCTGGAACTGGGGTACCCTTAACTCTTCAGCCTATGCTGTCACTCACAATGCTTTGCTAGTGACAAGCAGCAAATCCCTCTGAGTGCTGTTATCACTCAGCACAACAGCATGTGGAGCCCCATACCCAGCTAAATTGCATGAATGCTTTAGCCACTCACAAATCACACAGAGAAAGGCACCAACAAATCTTCCAAGCTCCCAGCCTTGCACCCGAGAACTCTACCATCTTGCCCTGGTCAGAAGCCTGACGAGTATAAGTTCATTACCCAGTCCACCCCTCCACCCCTTGATGTGGAGAGGACACACACTAGCCTTTGGGCATAAGCTTTCGTGGGCTAAAACCCACTTCATCAGATGCATGGAGTGGAAAATACAGTAGAAAGGTATAAATACACAGCATATGAAAAGATGGGAGTTGCCTTACCAAGTGGGGGGGGACAGTGATAATGAGCCAATTCAATTAAGGTGGAAGTGGGCTATTCTCAACAATTGACAAGAAGGGGTAGAAATCACTTTTGTAGTGCTAATGAGGCCAATGTAATCAAGAAAAGAAAAGGAGGACTTGTGGCACCTTAGAGACTAACAAATTTAGTTGAGCATAAGCTTTTGTGAGCTACAGCTCACTTCATCGGATGCATTCAGTGGAAAATACAGTGGGGAGATTTATATACACAGAGAACATGAAACAATGGGTGTTACCATACACACTGTAACCAGAGTGATCAGGTAAGGTGAGCTATTACCCGCTGGAGGGGGGAAAAATCCTTTTGTAGTGTTAATCAAGGTGGGCCATTTCCAGCAGTTGACAAGAACGTCTGAGGAACAGTAGCTGGGGGGGAAATAGTTTTACTTTGTGTAATGACCCATCCACTCCCAGTCTCTCTTCAAGCCTAAGGTAATTGTATCCAGTTTGCAAATTAATTCCAATTCAGTAGTCTCTCGTTGGAGTCTGTTTTTGAAGTTTTTTTGTTGAAGAACTGCCACTTTTAGGTCTGTAATCGAGTGACCAAAGAGATTGAAGTGTTCTCCGACTGGTATTTGAATGTTATAATTCTTGACGTCTGATTTGTGTCCATTGATTCTTTTACGTAGAGACTGTCCAGTTTGACCAATGTACAAGGCAGAGGGGCATTGCTGGCACATGATGGCATATATCACATTGGTAGATGTGCAGGTGAACGAGCCTCTGAGCGTGTGGCTGATGTGATTAGGCCCTATTTATGTCCCCTGAATAGATATGTGGACACAGTTGGCAACGGGCTTTGTTGCAAGGATAGGTTCCTGGGTTAGTGGTTCTGTGGTGTGGTGTGTGGTTGCTGGTGAGTATTTGCTTCAGGTTGGGGGGCTGTCTGTAAGCAAGGGCTGGCCTGTCTCCCAAGATCTGTGAGAGTGATGGGTCGTCCTTCAGGATAGGTTGTAGATCCTTGATGATGCGTTGGAGAGGTTTTAGTTGGGGGCTGAAGGTGACGGCTAGTGGCGTTCTGTTATTTTCTTTGTTGGGCCTGTCCTGTAGTAGGTGACTTCTGGGTACTCTTCTGGCTCTGTTAGTCTGTTTCTTCACTTCAGCAGGTGGGTATTGTAGTTGTAAGAATGCCACTTGTGTTTCATCAAAGACAACTACAGGATCCTTTAGCAGTAACCTGTGGTTATCATTGTATTTTTTTTTAAACAACGTAGTAGAGGATTATCTTTTGATCGCATTTTAAAATTGTACACCAATGATTTACCAGAAAATGACCACCTGGTGGTACAGTTTGTAAAAGGGAAAAGGTGAGGCATGCCCAGTCTTGTTTCAAACATGTTTCAACATGTCCAAACGTGTTTGTCTTGTCGTGAATTTAAAGAGGCGCATCAATAAAGGACACCTTGAATTTTGTTTAGGTCTTTTATTTTACACAGTTAACCATGAGATTTTTCGTTTTTTAGAAGGGGTGCTGCTACTTATGGCCTTGACAGGCTCCACCCGTGTTTTTAGACGTTCTAAAAACTCTTTGTTGGTAACATGCCCTGCAACAGACATAGGCACGTTCAGCTCCGCCAAGGCTTTCATAAACACATTCCACCCCTTAGGAGTCCTTTTGTTAGCAAAAGAATAATTGCCGGTGACCCCTGTGACAAAATCGAGCATGTGAGATTCCTCGATCGTTTCCCCCCAGTACACAAAATTGCCATTATTGGCCCAAGCAGAAACATCTTTACGCTGTTTGAGTTTATTTAACAATATTTCAGCTTTTTACTTTTATAGCGAGGATTTACCCCCTCCAATAGCTCCTGAACGACAACGTCCGATGAACCCGACCCCCAGGCTTTCAGGAGATTGAATTTCCTCTTGCTCTTGCTCGGGGAGAAAGAGGTTTATTTTAGTCTTTTCCATTTCACCATGCTTGGCCAATACCAGATATCTTTGCAGAACCCCCTCGTGAAGTTTAGCCTCCTCGTAATTTTTGAAAGTTTTTTGAAGACTGTCTTTCATTTCTGAATCCAGTTGGCATGTGGTTGTGGTTCTGATATTTTCTTCTCCGCTAGAAGCACGCTTTATCTGTTCTAACTGATGTCTAGGAACGAGGTACAATTATTCAGCGTGTTCCATTATCTGTTAATTAAAAGGCCTGACAGTAGAGGGAGTGCAAAGCTTAGCAAAGGTCCGACAAAGCCCCCAGCCTGTTTCACAATTAGCTTTTTTCATTTGAGGGATAGCTTTTTATCGCTCAGCTTTTTAATAATTCCCTGTTTTCTTTTTAGGATGCTTATTTGTCAGGGTTTTAGAGGTACGTTTCCTTTTAAAGTGTTGAGAGCTATTTCTGAGATGGCCACTACCAAGTCATCAGAAGCCGAGCAGAGAATCGCTTTTCTTTGCTGCGGCTTGGCTTTGATGAAAACTCTTAAAAGAGCCAGGTTTTTCTGCACGTGGCTAGACATGTTTGTCAGGGGGTTACTCTGGAAGTTGGATAAAAATAACTATTTTTTATGGGATTTTTTTAAAGGTGTATACACAGGGCCAGTCTGGAGGAAAAAGACCTGTTCTTAACCTGAAGGCTTCAGGCGCTGAAGCGTTTAAATCCACCAACAGATACCCATAGGGTTTTTTGGTAGCGTCCTCAAAAGGCTCCAAAAGGAATTGTCTTTCACCGGGGTACATTTGCCGGGCCAGAGTGGCGATTTGCAGTTTATCGCGTGGGTTTTTAAGAAAAACCATACATTTGGTATTTAAATTAATCACTCGGCTTTTTTTCCCCTGACAGAACATGTTTTGCACAATGTACATAATAACACTTAGGTTTTTGTGGGGTATGTATTTTGTAAAGGCATTTTCAATTTCAGACGCAGACTCCATTAGATCATCTATAATAACCATATTTACTTTATTACTTTATTACTAGGAAATAAATGTTCATCATTAAAAGTATTAGGTAAACCTTCCAAGAACATAATACATGGACATTTTTGCAGCAACTCTTTATACAACGGTTGCCAACAGCTATAAGAGCACACAATATTTTCAGGCATACAGGATAACAACTTATTACCATTTCTAACAATTCGAGGGGCCACAAAGCAAACGTGGCTTTTCATAATAATCAATTTAGGGTACAGCAAGGTTTTAAAATCCACTTCAAGGGCTCTTTTGTCATAAACGACTTTTGGGTTTTTTTTCAGTGTTCTCGTTTCTATCGACCAGTGCTTTTTTACCCTTTCGATTCCTGGCTGCTGTACCACAATTTCCCAGACGAGTTCTTTTAAGCTTTCAAAATTAATTTTTTTGCTATTCCCTGAGTTGAGCGTGATCCCTTTTACTTTCATGCAGATCTTACCGCTGAACAGTTTGTATCCGTATGTTTTAGGCCCAGCGGACACAAACTCCACGATATGTTCATCTGGTGGTATTTACCTGGTCAGATCCCCTAAATAATCCCCTAGGAGCGGGTTCCTCTCCCCTTCTTTACTCACAAAAATTACAGCGTCCGTATCGTGACAAAGACACCGCTCCTGTAAGTGGTCTAACAGACGGTAGAGCTCTAGCCTGGCATAACTGTGGTAAAGCACGCTATAAACACGTTAGTGTTGCTGGAGTGGGTGCAGCTTTCTTTTGTGTAGTTCCAAGACACCACAGCCATGTCATCGTCGATAAACTCGCACGCTGACACGTTGTAATAAGGTACAAAGACGTACTTGAAGAGCTCGTCGGGGTCAGTTACTATACTGGTGTTAGTCAAATTTGTTCGCTGACCAAATTTCCCCCCCAAGGAATTTAAAAACAGCTTTGAGATTTGCCTTTTCGTGGGGTTTACTTTAATTTTGTTTAGACGCAGACACACGTCTTCTCTTTCACGGTACTCTTTAACGTACCGGTTTTTTTAACTTGTCCGTACACCAGTGAGGGAACTCCGAGGCCTCTTGTTTCTGTCTCAGGTGTGTTTTAATGTAGTTTGAAAACAGGGCGTCTGAAGAGCAGTTAAAATGCCAGACTTCATAAATCTCAGCGATTCTGTATCCTTTGTCTAAAGCCTCCACCAACTCTACTGTGAACCAAGTTCCTGTTAAAGCCCTCTCCTCCTGACTGTGCTCGCAGGGGTCCTTTTGTTTTGTTTCTGCACAAAGGGCGCATGGGGGAACATGAGTTTTCCACCGACCCTGTATGGTAATATGGGGAAATACAGGGCTCTTGGAGGGTACACTTTAACCTTGGTGATGACAGAGTACTGTCTGATAGCCCCAAAATGCTCATACACAATACCGGGGTGTCCCACAGGGTATTGTTTATTCTTGTTAACAAAAGAGTAAAGGCCGGTAAAATCGTAGTAATGAATCTGCTCCCCGGGCTGTGGTTTGTAATAAAGGCAGATGGTTTTCGTTCTACCCCCGTAAAGGGTGTCTTTAGGAACCAAAGTTTGTGGCAGTTTTTTTTCTCGTCAAAAGTCCCCCACCCGGTTATCGTTAGCTAGCATAGCCAACCATTCGTGTTCCCACATGGCCGTTACCTCAAACCCCTGTCTTTTTAGAAATTGCGCCTTAATCAGGGTTCGGTTGTACAGGTGTCTGTAGGTCGAATTAAGCAACGGATTGTGGTCATTTTCACAATAGCAGATGGGGCAGCCGTGAAAAAAACATTCGTTAAATTCAAAGGCTGTGGATTTACCTGCTATGACGGCGTAACCATCCAAAAATAGGACCCCCCACTCCCCACCCTGCAAAGCGTGTTGGATGTAAATGGTCTCAGTGTGGGCTACGTTCAGCAACCATTGAATGGCCGGGGTGGAATATCTCTTCTGCTATTTGTGGTAATTGTTTAATGGCAGAAGGGCTATGGTTCGCGGTTTTAAAAAATTAAATCGGTACATGGCCATCCAAATCGAGGCTAATGTAAGGTACTGAAAGGGGTCTATACACTTAGTGACCACCTTCTCATCATCCTGTCCTGGGTTTTTAACAATCTGCTTTTCTGTCATTTTTATAACTTTATTTTTGAACCGGTCGCAAGCCTCTCGCAAAATTTCAACATCTTTTTGACAATAATAGCGCAGATCTTTTTGGAGATCGAATTTGTTTTGGCGATTGTGTTGGTACCAGTTCAGAAATTCCTTTTTTTTCTTCAGGCAGCATGTATTCTACTCCAAACTACTCTATCCCGGGCATAGGCCCCACATAGTTCTGATTTGCAACAGTGTTAAAAAAAGCGCGGAAAGTACCCCTTAACTTCCTCCAACCCCATAGCTTTGAGTAACTTGCTAAGTTTTGTGGGAAGAAAATTTAAAGAAGCTATAAATCTAATGTCTAAGTCCATCACCGTTACGCACATTCATTTCCCCCCTTGTGTTTTTTCTTTAATCAACTGTCTAAGGATAAAATAACAATCGTAATCTTTAGCATTATGAGCAATGAATGGGTATCCCTTAAAGCATTTGTCTACAAAGGTTCAAACAAACTCGCTAACGCATTCTTCTCCCTTAAATTCCCAGCTGGTTTCTTTATTTAGATACAAGGCATAAACATAATTTGGCACCTGTAGCCCATTTCTTGGATGCATTAAAAATCATAAAACACATAATCCTTCCCCTCTTCTGGAGACCAAATTTTATGTATATAACACTCATAACCCTCTATGTTGTCGGTCTTCTGATAGCACTGGGGACATTTTTTGCTTTTACACCTGTGATTTTTAACCTTGTAGAAGCCGCAATTACTGCAAAGACTTCTGTTTTTACAATCAACTTTACCGTCTTTTACCAAAGCGTTGTGCCTTTCTAAACAGGCCTCGGGCCTGCAAAATAGTTTAGAGCTGTGGGCATCTCTTTTTTCAGTGGCCACTTCAAGGCGCTCGGCGCTATTACACGTACGGCAGTGATTTTTACAGGCTTGCTGATGTTTGTGGCTGGACGTGGCTTATCAGTAATTGCACAAATACGGCGCGCCTATAAAGGCTTTAATATTTAGGATGCCATAATAATGTTTGTCATGTAACAGAACAAAACCAGTTTTGGGCGGTGTACACCAGCCGTTGTAAAAAAGCGCAAGTTTCCATTTTCATGATACATAACGGTCTACCCCAAAGCGCTCCCGTCTGTAAAGTGAATCATTTTTTGGTCCGAAAACCCCAGCTCCTGATGGAGATGTCTGGCTGCCTCTAATAGTTGGATATCTGTAAGTTTTTCATCTGATAAAAGACCCAGCACGCTACCGGCAAAACACAGTTTGTTACCTTGGTTATGTAAATCAATTAATTTTTTTCTTTTTTCCGATGATTTTACTGTACATGATAGTTTTTAAGGGCCTTTACAGCCCCTCGCTCCCCCACACCACCAGCCCTGTTTCTAATATGTTTATGTTTTTAGGTTTCATGTTTAGTCACACCCTCCCTTCCACCTTTAACACACTTTTGGTCTAAAACCACCCTTTTGTCTGGAGCATTTTGCTTTTGAAACACCTCAACGATTAGCTTCGAAAACTTTTTATCTATTAAACGCTTCAGAGATGTACAAACACGAAACAGCTCATTACAAACAACAACTGATGCAGCAAGACATACAGGGAGGTTTTTACTTGTAGCAGAGATTTTGCTTTGCCCAGAAGCCGGGGGGCGGGCCTCTTGACTCTGCTCAAACCCAGCCCTGGACACAGCTGCTGCTACAGGATTGTTTGCCTTTACCCTTCTCAAAGCTGGTTCCTTCGGGGCTGTAAAGGCTTGGGGCTGTTGAGAACTAGGGGTTTGAGTTCCTTTGGATTGCTTACCAGTGTCCCCGGCCCTGCAGAGGTAGATTTTTTTTGGCCCTGGTGGTGCAGGGCAGATCAAAATGCGGGGGGGGGGTAACCCCCTTGCTTCTATATGCTGCTGTTTCAGTGGTAGATTTTTTGGCCCTTTTTAAGGATGGCTGGTTCTGTGTAATGAGGTTTTGGATGTGCTCAAAATCAAAGTGTCTCATACCCTTGCTTCCCACTGTCGCTGATTCAGAGCGAAATTTCTTGGTCCCCTTCAACGTTTCTTCTTGAGAGATAACACTCGATAAGTCTGTCAATACACATAAACAAAATGTTTTTAGCACCTAAACCTGTATGTTCTTTTTATTAACAGCCACAAACATATCCCCGACATACATGTATCCCACATAACCCACCCCTTCACGCTAAAGACCTTTAGCTCTTATGTAGTACAGCTCCAGACTCCTCAACAACAACCCGCAAAACATGTTTACAGTAAAACCTTTGGGGCCAAGGTGATTCCTCTTTTTACTAACAACAACAAACCCCTAGAAAAAATGTCCACTATTTCAAACACATATTTAAGAACAAATCATACCGTCTTCTGTCATTTCAGGAAACGCTGTCTGTTGGTTTTGACTTCCATCTTGTTCTAAATTTTTAAAAATAAACTTCTTAAAACCATTTTTTTAAAAAATAAACCATAAACGTGTAAGATATGAAGCCGCTTACCACGATTTAAAACTTCTAGTGCGGAATCTGGTATGTCAAGAAAAACGGCCTCGTCCTGTTTGAAAAAAATATTAACTTTTAACTAAGCACAACACAGGCAGAGAACAGGGGTAACACACACCATAGTCATTTTTCTTATCATGTCATTGCGTCCCATCAGCGGTGTTTCTTTAACAGCCTTGTCCAGTTTTCTGTCCCTATTTATAGGTTTACACCTGTTGAAAAAAGGGCTTGGGGCCCCTAAAATTTAAAACCATGGGGGTATAAGGGTCATTTTTTTCTAGAAAAAAAGATGGGGAGAAAGGGGCTACATACTTTAGCTTTAATGGTTAAAAGGTTCTTATGTTCTATAGTAAGTGTGTTTAAACAGTTTATAAAAAGACACTGTAAATGGTAATATGCTCATTAACATATCTGTAACCAAAAGCTACAACCTTTATTCTTTAATTCAATTGTTTATCGTATGTTTTGGTCAGCATTTGTTACAGGGTCCTCTTCCTTTAAATAAGAGCAGAGCAAGCGGCCTCTAAAGAAAAAAAAAAGCGGGAACCCTAGGCTACATTCTTTACCTCTAATGGTTAAAAAGGTTTTATTTTATACAGTGAGCTTATTTACAGTTAAAGTTACTGTTCTTTTTAGTACAAGTCTTTGGTATCATTTTGTTTTGAAAACAGGCCTTGGGCTTTCTTAGTTCTGACCACAATGGCTTCTTTTTTCACATCGTTTTTACTGACCATGTTAGTCTAAAACTTTTTTGTGTTTTTAATTCCTGAACTGTTTCTGCAGGCTTACCTTTTATTAAAACACTTATGCCCATGGGGCTAAATAAAGGAGTGTTTCAGAGTAACAGCCGTGTTCGTCTGTGTTCGCAAAAAGGAAAGGAGGACTTGTGGCACCTTAGAGACTAACCAATTTATTTGAGCATAACCTTTCGTGAGCTACAGCTCACTTCATCGGATGCATACTGTGGAAAGTATAGAAAATCTTTTAATACACACAAAGCTTCTCTACAAAAGAAAAAGGACACTAAACTTTCTAAACTACTACATGCCACAAGGGGCCACAGCAATGGTTCCCTCAACCCACCCAGCAATATTGTTAACCTATCCAACTATACTCTTAGCCCAGCAGAAGCAGCTGTCCTATCTCAGGGCCTCTCCTTCTGCCCCTCCACCCCCACGAACATGATGCAGTTCTGTGGTGACCTAGAATCCTATTTTCGACGTCTCCGACTCAAGGAATATTTCCAACACACCTCTGAACAACATACTAATCCACAGAGACCTCCCTACCAACACTACGAAAAGAAGGATTCTAGGTGGACTCCTCCTGAAGGTCGAGACAGCAGACTGGACTTCTACATAGAGTGCTTCCGCCGACGGGCACGGGCTGAAATTGTGGAAAAGCAGCATCACTTGCCCCACAACCTCAGCTGTGCAGAACACAATGCCATCCACAGCCTCAGAAACAACTCTGACATCATAATCAAAAAGGCTGACAAAGGAGGTGCTGTTGTCATCATGAATAGGTTGGAATATGAACAAGAGGCTGCTAGGCAGCTCTCCAACACCACTTTCTACAAGCCATTACCCTCTGATCCCACTGAGTTACCAAAAGGAACTACAGCATTTGCTCAAGAAACTCCCTGAAAAAGCACAAGATCAAATCCGCACAGACATGCCCCTGCAACCCCAACCTGGGATATTCTATCTACTACCCAAGATCCATAAACCTGGAAATCCTGGGCGCCCCATCATCTCAGGCATTGGCACCCTGACAGCAGGATTGTCTGGCTATGTAGACTCCCTCCTCAGGCCCTACGCTACCAGCACTCCCAGCTATCTTCGAGACACCACTGACTTTCTGAGAAAACTACAATCCATTGGTCATTTTCCTGATAACACCATCCTGGCCACTATGGATGTAGAAGCCCTCTACACCAACATTCCACACAAAGACGGACTACAAGCCGTCAAGAACACTATCCCCGATAATGTCACGGCTAACCTGGTGGCTGAACTTTGTGACTTTGTCCTTACCCATAACTGTTTTACATTTGGGGACAATGTATACCTTCAAATCAGCGGCACTGCTATGGGTACCTGCATGGCCCCACAGTATGCCAACATTTTTATGGCTGACTTAGAACAACGCTTCCTCAGCTCTCGTCCCCAACGCCTCTACTCTACTTGCGCTATATTGATGACATCTTCATCATCTGGACCCATGGAAAAGAAGCCCTTGAGGAATTCTACCATGATTTCAACAATTTCCATCCCCCCATCAATCTCAGCCTGGTCCAGTCCACACAAGAGATCCACTTCCTGGACACTACAGTGCTAATAAATGATAGTCACATAAACACCACCCTATACCGGAAACCTACTGACCGCTACTCCTACCTACATGCCTCCAGCTTTCACCCTGACCACACCACACGATCCATTGTCTACAGGCAAGCTCTGCGATACAACTGCATTTGCTCCAACCCCTCAGACAGAGACAAACACCTACAAGATCTCTGTCAAGCATTCTTACAACTACAATACCCACCTGCGGAAGTGAAGAAACAGATTGATAGAGCCAGAAGAGTTCCCAGAAGTCACCTACTACAGGATAGGCCTAACGAAGAAAATAACAGAACGCCACTAGCAGTCACCTTCAGCCCCCAACTAAAACCCCTCCAACGCATTATTAAGGATCTACAACCTATCCCTCACAAATCTTGGGAGACAGGCCAGTCCTTGCCTACAGACAGTCCCCCAACCTGAAGCAAATACTCATCAGCAACCACATAGCACACAACAGAACCACTAACCCAGGAACCTATCCTTGCAACAAAGCCTGTTGCCAACTGTGCCCACATATCTATTCAGGGGACACCATCACAGGGCCTAATAACATCAGCCACACTATCAGAGGCTCGTTCACCTGCACATCCACCAATGTGATATATGCCATCATGTGCCTGCAATGCCCCCTGCCATGTACATTGGTCAAACTGGACAGTCTGTACGTAAAAGAATAAATGGACACAAATTAGATGTCAAGAATTATAACATTCATAAACCAGTCGGAGAACACTTCAATCTCTCTGGTCACGCGATTAGACATGAAAGTTGCGATATTACAACAAAAAAACTTCAAAACCAGACTCCAGCGAGAGACTGTTGAATTGGAATTCATTTGCAAATTGGATACAATTAACTTAGGCTTGAATAGAGACTGGGAGTGGCTAAGTCATTATGCAAGGTAACCTATTTCCTCTTGTTTTTTCCTACCCCCCACCCCTCCTCAGACGTTCTTGTTAAACCCTGGATTTGTGCTGGAAATGGCCCAACTTGATTATCATACACATTGTAAGGAGAGTGATCACTTTAGATAAGTTACCAGCAGGAGAGTGGGGTGGGGGGAGAGAAAACCTTTTGTAGTGGTAAACACCCATTTTTTCATGCTTTGTGTGTATAAAAAGATCTTCTATACTTTCCACAGCATGCATCTGATTAAGTGAGCTGTAGCTCACGAAAGCTTATGCTCAAATAAATTGGTTAGTCTCTAAGGTGCCACAAATACTCCTTTTCTTTTTGCATAAAGGACTGTGTTTTTTCAAGGGTTTATTCCTTTACAAAACTTTCATCTCTCTTTGTTAAAAAGTACAAAAAACCCCCAAGCTTCTTCTCTCTGATCCAGTGGTTAACAAAATAAGGAAAATATAAACTGTCTGTTACTAAAAACCTGGGGTAATTCTGCCTGCTCTATTTTATTGAAACACCCCTGTAAAAAAAGGGCTGTGTCTTTTCAAGTCAATATAAAGCAGAGCTTTATTCCATTACAAACCGTGATGTAACTAACTTGTGTTTGTAAAAAGCAGGCTTCTTCTTTCTAATCACAGCTATCAGCTGCAAAAGCCTGTTGTTTTATATTGGGCTCACTAAAAAAAAGAAAGACCAATGCTAGCCTAAAACCTAGAAAAAAACTTTGAAAAATGGCTTGTTACTAAAAGCGTATGGTTTTAACTTTTATGAAAACCCCCTTCTAAAAAACTACATGGCGGAAAAGATGCTGGGTGTCTGTTTCTTTAGATAAGAATAAGGCAGTTAAAAGTTTGGGGTCTTGGACCTATAAAATTGGTTCAGAAAAATAAACTCTATAACGTCATTGTAAAACAACCTCTGATTGGCCCGATCCAAAGGCGGGGATAACAAGTCTGAAAGTTTCTAAACGGTGTCGCTGCCTCATTTTACAGAAAGACAGGCAAGGAAAAAAATCTCTCTCTGTCTTCAATTCAACCATGTGCTCTCTGTCTTTCCTCTGCTCTTTCTTATAATCTATCCTGATACTGAAGGCTTTTTTATGACTTATTTTATCATTTGCTTGCTAAATTACTTTTTTAGAGCTAGCTTTTAATGTTTCTTAATATTATTTAGTGCTTTTTTTAGTCACTTTTTTATCAGGTGCTTCCTAAATTTCCTTTTTAATCTTGTTTTTATAGCTTTTAATGTAAGGTAAAGATCCTCTTTAAATCTTGGGACTACAGGATTGGTTCCACAAGCGCATTCTGTGACCTAGCTGTAAAACAACCTCTGATTGGTCCAAAAGGAGGGGCTAGCTCCCAGGAGCGCTGCCCAAACCAGCTATCATTTCGCTACCAACAGTCAGTGGGGCAGGATGTTTCGCTCTGCATGTGTTCAGTAACACAAACACTCTATTCTTTACCAACTGCTCTCCTTACTCAATCCCCCTTTTTCAATAAACCTTACCCAAACGTCTCTCACTCTTATCTTTCAATGTATCACATTTTCTATTCTTTTATAGCATACCATCATCTTTCTTTTCCTTAATAACCTGCCCTTTAACAACAGCTCTCCTTACACAAACACCTTTTCTCAATACTTTAAACTGCTCTCAATGTATCCAAGCACAACACTTCCCTCATTCAAACGCGCACAAAATTGTTTTTTTCAAAATGGCCAATGGCGCCAAACTTCGGCGCCAACGGAAACGGAGTGGGAAGGCTGCACATAAGCTCTAAAGAGGCATGGAAACCTGTTAAAA